TGATTCGTCCATTCTCTCTACAACATATTCCATGAAGGACAAACCTACATTTTAAAGGGATCATCAACTTTTATTGAAAGCATAGACGCTCCTAAGACAGACTTCCCTTCGCTGCGAGTCTGATGGATTACAGCTGAAGCATCACGAGAGGTTCCCTCATGGAATCCTTCCGCCGAATGGGTTGGGGGCTTCGAAGCCTGGGTTCGGAACGAAGGTGTCGTCGTTCCCGGGGAGATACCGGCTGTTAGCTACAGCTGGGCCACTGTGGTCTACATTACGAAGCCAAGGCAGCACGCGGCCGAAGAACCGAGGAATCTTCTCCTCTGAGTTCGCCGGAGCGCCACGCGCTGCGAGAGCCAATTGAGAGAACGACGACAGCGACAGGAGGAGGAGGAGGAGGAGGGGAAGACAAGGGCGGTGTGAGGAGCTCGCCATGGAGAAGGGAGAGAAGGATGAAGCAATGGAGGAGTTTGTGATGGTTTGGGACGTAGGCGAGTTGCTCATATAAGCGTGAAGAGATGCTAGAGTTCGGTGGGGCTGTAGTGGCGGTCATTGATACAAGCTTCTGACGACTCTCTTTGCTTTATGCAAGCTCTAAATGCATCAAACCAGAGATTCCTGGCCGCGTGTGTTCACCAGCTTTCTAACGCTCATTAATTCATTTCCGCCACCGCCTCGGCAGACTGTTGAAGTTTGCAATGCTAGACATCACGCATGACATATGCATGACATATGGCATGAGAGCTTCAATTCACATGACCGTGGTTCAGTTTCAACCGCAACAGAATTGGGTGGGATCCAAATCGAATGGATCTGACGGTTCGGAACTGATTCCAAATCGGTCCAGGAAAATTTAGTGTCGGTTCCAACTATGTCGAACCGAAACCGGAATCAATGTCGGTGATTTTGGTTAAGTTCAAACAACCCAAATTAAAAATTAATTAATTAATTTCCAAAAATTATGAATTGATTTTCAAAGTGAAACTTCGATCAAATATTTAAAATAAATTGAAGTTCTTCGATCGTAGCACCAAAATGGAGGAATCTACTTTGGAGTTTTGAAAAGTTATGATGTGTTTATTATGATAGATGACACCGAATCTAACATCATCACAACCCATTCTCTGACTCTCCGGGATAAAGCTGTGCGTATATAATTTGGGTAACTTCGCCTGTTGATTCTGAATCATTTACAGAAGGCTGATGATGCACATCAATAAATGATGATGAACACCAGCGGGTGATGTCAAGGACGGCACATGCACTCATCGCATCAGATTCATGCACTCCAACACGGACGTTTTCTCCCCTCGAAACTAGGGACGTCCAGCCAGGATCTCCTCGTCCTCTTCTTCCATGAATCGGGTTTCTGCGTCAGGTTCAGCAAAACAAGGTCGGCTGCATGCAGAATCCCCGCCGCCGACTCGGCGCCGACTTGAGCTCATCTCCGTTATTCTACAGCGAGGCGATGACTCGCTCTCTCTCACCCTATCTCGCCACATCTACTGAAGCTGTTAGTGTCACTGCGACCGTGTTGCATGGGGGGTGATGTCTATTCTATGCATTATTTATTATCGTCGTTGATAATGCTTCATACATTTTATATTCATGTGTTGCTTCCAGAGATCTCGAGTCACAGTCCATCGGTTTGACCGCGGCGGTGGAATTGTCTTGCTTGCTCTGACTCCCACGAAGCGATCGTCTTTCTTAGATCATATATATTTATAACAGATAGTCGTATTTTCTCTCCATCTATATATTTTATTTTACTATGATTAATACTCGGCACATTCTTCAAAGCGATTCCATACGGCAATACCAATCATTTGCACTCAATTATTGGTTGGTTCCATCGATCTTGATACATTACAAATATTTACATGCGATGCCCATGCTCTCTATCGGTATATCGAGAGCTTGAATCATATACGGATCAGATCTCAGTGGCGTCCACTGTCATGCCTACCGATCATCAATCACGCACAGCTTCCATGTGTTGTGTTCATCCATTACGCACTTTGGGGACGACGTGTACTCATAGGCCAAAACACTACCGAGTGAACCAAACGAGGGGAAAGGAAGGCATCGTGCACGTCTCCTCCTCGCCCTTACAAGCGAAGGCATCGTGCGCTCCTCGACCACATCCACAAGCCACGAATCTCCCACCTCCACCACCGCATCACCGTCTCATGCCCCTCCACCTCATCTTTGGTCCCACTTCAACTCTTCCTACTTGTAGAATCCCGTTACGTCAAACGCCCGCCTGAGGTAAAGATTAGTATCGTAGAGTTCCGTTTCGTCCAACATCCGTTTGTTTCTCTTACCTCTCCCGCGCCTAACGATAAATACCGGCCCTGTCATCGCCAGTTCTCAGAGCCTCTTCTTTCTCCTCCGTTTCCCTCTTCCCTCACTTGGCTCGGAGCGCAAGCTGCCTTCCCCCATGGAGCCAAGCGGCAGGAATTGGGTGAGGGGAAGACCCATCGGAAGCGGTTCCTTCGCCACGGTTAGCCTCGCCCTCGACAGATCTCAGGGTGAAGTCTTCGCCGTCAAGTCCGTCGCTCTCAACGGCGCCAACCTTGCTGCGATCCTTTCCCTTAGCAACGAGATCCGAATCCTCAGCTCCGTTCGCTCGCCCTACGTCGTCCAGTACCTCGGCGACGACGTCAGCCGCGAAGCTCGATCCGGCGCGTGCCGGAACCTGCACATGGAGTACTTGCCCGGCGGTTCCGTCGCGGACTTGGCGGCGGAGAGGAGGCGGAAGGGTTGCCCCGTGGACGACGCGGACGTGCGTTCGTACACGCGTTGCGTGACCCGTGCCCTTCGTTACCTCCACGACGTGGCCGGAGTCGTCCACTGCGACGTGAAGGGCCGAAATGTCCTGTTAGGCGGAGCCGCCGGCGTCGCCAAGCTCGCGGATTTCGGTGCGGCGGTGAGGATTTCCGGGGGAGATGAGCGTAGCTGGGTGCGGGGAACGCCGCTGTGGATGGCGCCGGAGGTCGCCCGGGGGGAGCGGCCGAGGCCGGAGTCAGACGTCTGGTCGCTCGGGTGCACGGTCATCGAGATGGCGACCGGAGCGCAGCCATGGCCAGACTGGAGACTTAAAGATGCTGCAGAAGCGATGTTTCGTATTGGTTACGGCGACGAGCTGCCGGAATTCCCGCCCCTGCTGTTGGAGGTCGCCCGTGATTTCCTCGACAAGTGCTTGAGAAGGGACGCAAGCGAGCGGTGGACTGCAGAGCAATTATTGCAGCACCCTTTCCTAGCCGAAGCAGAAATCCCCATGGAGGAGACCCCGCGAGGCGTGCTCGAATGGGCAAACTTGGAGTTCCACGACGGCGCCGATGACGGAGAAGGTTGCAGTGTGAGTTACAGTGACCTTTCTGATTCCACCGAGCTGGTGGCTAGTGGAAGAAAAAGAGTAGGAGAATTAGCTTCATGCGGGGGAGTTTTGGCCTGGGAAAGTGATGATTGGGAGGAAGTAAGGAGGGTCGAGGAGCTCAATTTGCAGGGGGACAAAGCAGAAGAGGAGCGAGGGACGTTCTGGGAATGTCCTGATTGCACCAGTTTGGGTTCGGCAGACAAGCATGGGGGTGTCAGTGAGGAACAAGGGGATGACTTACCCAGTGTAATGAGATGCTCTGTTTCTTCTCCTACTGCCTCTTGTCCCTGTTCCTTTTGCAAGGGTCGTTTAGTCTGCCATCATGTGAATGGACTCATTAGGGTGTTGTTCTTTGGTTGTTGTTGTTTGCTGTCACAACAATGGATAAAATTTCATGGACTTCCATGTTACATCAACAGCAACAAAAATTTAACTTGGGACCTCCTCCATTCAACAGTAATTTGCATCACTTGTGTCTCTCATTCTTCGCGGCACAAAAGCACCACAGAGAGCATGGTGACCTCCCACCAGATGCTGTGCTGCACTTTCTTCTCTTGTGCGTATATTCTTATCCAGCATGATGTGTCATTGTGTTTGTGGCCATGGCTGGCCTAGAGGAGATGTTGGTTCCCCTGTGCTCTTAGACATTAGATCAACCTCAGCCATTGTGGATTATGTAGGGCCCCTGCCGTGGGTCACTTCATCCATGGCCGCAAATATATGTGGCTCCAGTTGGCCTACATCGGCCCCCTCTGTTCATGGTCACTACAAAATTAGGATTTTTCTTTTTTTTTTTTGGTGAGAAAAAAAATGCAAGTTAGCATGAGTAATTAATTAAGCTGCATGTTTCCATTTAGGTGGACTAAACCAATGAGAATTATTGGAGTGATGCATCAGATCAAAACTGTGTTTGGTGGCTAGACCAGTTCTGCAAAGCAGCATAACTCTCCTGCAAAAAGCTGCTACCAATTTGGATGATTGATCTTGTTTTTGGTTCCTTGAGCTGACAAGGTAAATGAGAATTTGATTGAGCTTGGTGATCTCTTCCGTTGTGAATTATGCACTCTCAAGGTGGTCATCCTGGGTAGAAGCTAAATATATCTAATTCGCCTGGCATTTATGTGCTAACTTTGATCATTTTCCATGCTCATTAGATTAATTCGTATGCATCATGGGGTAATTAGCCTTGGTTGCTTGAAAGCAATTCTATACAGTATTCTCAGCCTCAGTTTTCTATCACCGTAAATCAATCATGGAAACTCTAAATCAATTTAATTCACAAAACGATCACCCAGGAAACCACAGACATGAATGGAGAGTAGAAATCATGAGAGGAGAGCTCAAGATCGAATGGTTTTTGGGGGACACTGGGCCGGCATGAAAGCCAATGGCCCGGCAACATACACATCGATGTCGGCGTACTGGCCTGAGATGGTCGTGTTCTCGTACCGGAGCTGCGCTCCCCTCACCCCGTTGTTGACGTCGGTGGGGCGGTCGCAGCGGATGTCGGATGACACGAGGAGGCGCACGCCGCAGGCTTCCACCGGATCGAAGTAGCCGCCCCTCATGGTGGTCGTGTACAGCTCCGCGAACACGTACCCGTTGTCATCCGCCGCCGCGGACTTGTATAGCACCACCCGGTTCCGGTGGTCCCTGCAGGTGATGCTCACCCTGGCCGACGGCAGCGGCTTGGCGCCGGCCAGATTCCAGGTCCCCACGCTGCCGCAGTCCTGGCAGCTGACCAGGCCTTCCACCGCCACTACCACCTTCTTCTGCGCCTCGACATCCGCCGCTGCAGCCGGGAAGACGTGGGCTCTCCCCAGGACGAACACCATGGTGAGAAAAAAGGGTAGAACCTTGGTCGGCATGTCGTGGCGTGTTGCGAGAGGAAACGGACGAGAAGAGAAGAAGGGGGGTTGCACCTGGCCAAGCTCTTCGTCTGCCGCTGATATAGGGGTTTGCTTTGGAATTTCGATGGAGTGATTCTTACGCAACACCCTCTTTTTTCCTCTGTACTCGACGGCATTATCTCCAACAGGATTGATCATCTCCTGCTCTGTCTAATCTGGACGTGGGAAGTTGTCATGGGATGAAGAGGAAGAAACTGCTAAATTCCTCGCTGTTGATATTTTGATGACAAGAAACCAGAGATTAGAGTTCACACAAAACAAGTGCGCGCGTGTTAATTGTTATTGTGGTGGGCGGAGACAAGTCGCCCATATGAGGTGCGCCAGCTCCCAGGAAAGCCGAAAGGAAGCGGTTTCCACGTGGCTCGTCGTCCCGTTCGTTGGACCGCGTCGAGACGGCCCGGAGGCCGATGCCCGTGGGTCGCGATTATTGTTACGACTCCAAGCTCCTTTGTATGTTCTCCATGCAAAAAATAATTTTAGAAGTTCAAATTGTAGCAACTCGCGAATCATTTTGTGACGAGTCATTCACTTGCGAATAGCAATTATGTATACAAATATTCAATGGATGTGCAACAACTCTCTAGTCTCCATCCATGGCAATCTTTCGAAACCTCGGACAACTCGGAAACCATCACAAACGTAAGCTTACAAAACAACAGGAAGACAAACACAGATATCACAACACAAGCGGATCATCAGTAGTGGGTCCTGGGGTGGCAGTGGACGGGCTTGAAAGCCAGCGGCCCGGCGGCATACAGTTCGGTCTCACAGTGCTCACCGGAATTCGTCTTGCTCTCGTCCCGAAGCTTCGCTCCCTGGATCCCGTAGTTGACGTTGGTGAGGCGGTTGCAGCTGGCATCCGGGGAGGCGAGGAGGCGGGCGGTGCATGCCGTGACCGGATCGAAGGTGGCACTCCTCAGGTGGGCTCCGTCGAGCAGCTTGTAGAAGTATCCATTCCTGTCCGTCTCCGCACTGTCGTAGAAGATGACTCTGTGCTTGTGGTCCTTGCAGATGATGCTCACCTTGGCCGACGGTAGGGGCCTGGCGCCGTCCAGGTTCCAGCTACCGACGTACTTGCATTTCTGGCAGTAGACCATGCCTTCCACCGCCTTGTTCGTGCCGTCCGCCGCTGCGCGGGGGAACAGCGAGGTGTTCCCCACGGCCAGTGCCACGAAGAGGAGGAGGAGGGAGAAGACCTTGGTCGACATCTTAGCAAACACTTGGGGTTGGGGAGAGACGAGGAGGTAAGCCTATATATGGATGGGAGTTTCATCCGAGTTGGTGGTGAAGGACGTGGGGAGTTGTAAGAGTGGACTTTGGCTACGTGAACGCATGTCTGTAATACACACGTTCTCAGATTGGTCGAATCACCCATATCTTTTCGAGGGTAACGTGGTCTCATTGCAAAGTTGATGCAGTTGGATGCCACGACACACATAAATTGTTTCGGGGTGACTCGGCAACCTCTCTAGTTCTGGATGGATCAGATGGATCGCCCTCGAGAACCACCGAGGTGGATGCGTGGGTCCCACGTAAACATCAGGTGTCCCATCTATCGTTCTTGGAGTTTGACCCATTTTGCATCCATTTAAAGGAATTTTGACTCGTCACGTGTGTGGGTTCCACGTATTATATCACGTCACCCCTCAAACACACATCATAATAATTATTTCCTGAGAACACGCATCTCGAAGTAAACACGGAGAGAGAGAGGAGGGGGTGTGCCCGCGACGTACACGCGAGGGCCGACGCAGGTACACCTCCGCACACGACATAAGCAACCGTGCCACGTCGGTCAAAAGGCTGTGACTCCGCGCCGTGATTCGTGCGTACGTTCACAGGACCCGCCCATCCCACTTGCTCGACCAAAAGGACCGAAATAGTGATTTCAGTCATCCAAAACAGTTGCTATGATAAATTTAATTGTCGAAAGGGAGCAGAACAAATAATGTTGTTTTCGAAATATATTGGAATATAAAGCCCCCTATTTCACTCATTTAGACAGAGTCACAAAAATTGGGTCTCGTACGGAACGTGCACAATTTTTGTGAATCACCCAATTGTTGTGAATCTCAAAGTTTTATATCGTATTTTTATTTGAAGTTATTATCTTTATCAAAATCGTGAACAGTGCTAGTTAATTATTTATAAAGATCTCGATTATTGATAGCGATTTATGACGTACCAAAATAATAATAGCAGTCCATCATTGGTGGTGTACAGAAGAATAAAAAGACTTCCATGGACAATTTGGCTTCTCTTCTTGTGAGAGATCCTATGTGTCTTCTTCGTGAGTTATCTTTAGAATTAATAATAGCATCTATTAGAATAAAAGGTGAAAAGAAGCGACACAAAATTCAATGCCAAAAACTGGTCCTCGAGTGAACGAAGCATGTACGAGAAATTACATGAAGCATGTGATCCGTATGTACTCGATTGGACCACCTTCACTCCGCAAAGTTGTAAATTATGCACACCCACGATTCAAAAGGACTGAACAGTGACATCGTATGATCAAACAGTCACAAGAGAAGGTTTCATTGCTGGCGATGTAGAGAGAAGAATAAGAAAGAAATAATACAAAAGGATCCTATGGAAATTTTTGACTTGTGATTTCTAATCACATCAGTATAATTGGATTGGATTAATCAACCATGGAATCCAAATTTGGTAGAGAGAGAGAGAGAGAGAGAGAAGTTCAAAGAAAAAACATGTTCGTGTGTTTTGGGACTTGGGTGCTATCAAAGTTCAGTCAATAACTAAAAGATTTCTCTACTAAGTGATCAAATGAGCTGGTCAACCATCTCCAAAAACAAGTTTGACCCTAAATCTAGTCTGACTTGTTCAACACCATTGCAAAGATCATCGATCAAAGTTGTTGAGATCAAAGAAGACATGAAATAAAATTACATATCAAAAGCTTCTCCATTCAAACCCACATCTCCACAATACAATTATGATTGTTGCATTGTAACATTGGCTTCAATAAATCATATATTACATTTATTATTTTTTTAAAAAATAAATAATAAAAGCATCATATCGAGTCCACTCTTTGCCAACACTATTTATACACTCTCCTCTTATACTCATCTCCTTCCCCATCCCCATAATAAGCAAACATCTTCAAGAAATCTTCTTCTCCCTGCTAGTTTTTGTTCTTTTTTTTTCATTTTAATCCTTGAATTTTGGAAATATTAGAGAAGGAGTGGAAACAAAGGCGAAACAATGCCTTATAATTCTCCTCCCGAGCCTTCAGTCCAAGTTCAGAGGGTCACCGGCGGTGGTGGCGGCGTCATGGGCGCGCGGGAGCGGTGCACGGCACATGAGCTGCCGGAGGCGACGGCGAAGCACCACGAGCACGCGGTGGGGGCGAGGCAGTGCTGCTCGGCGGTGGTGAAGAGGGTAGCGGCGCCGGTAGCGGCGGTGTGGGCGGTGGTGCGGCGCTTCGACAAGCCGCAGGCCTACAAGCACTTCGTCAGGAGCTGCCGCCTCGTGTGCGGGGACGGCGGGGTGGGCACCCTCCGGGAGGTGCGCGTCGTCTCGGGGCTGCCCGCCGCGACCAGCACCGAGCGGCTCGAGATCCTGGACGACGAGCACCACGTGCTCAGCTTCCGGGTGGTCGGCGGCGAGCACCGCCTCGCCAACTACCGGTCTGTCACCACGCTCCACCCCGACACGGCCGGTGCCGCCGAGGGGACCGTCGTGGTGGAGTCGTACGTGGTGGACGTGCCGCCGGGGAACACCAGGGACGACACGAGGCTGTTCGTCGACACCATCGTCAGGTGCAACCTCCAGTCCCTGGCGCGCACCGCCGAGGCCCTCAACCGGCGAGGCGGGGCCACGGCCGTTGCCGTCCGCATGGCAAACCCGTAATTTGCTCCTGCAATCGTTATTATAGTTCATCCTTTTGGTAAAGCCGTGAAATAATATTATTCGTAATCCATCTCTCAACTTTATAGTCATTTTCATTTGAAGCCGACTCCACTTACTTGCACAAAATTAATTCATCGGATGGAATTTAATATAAATATAGCATTAATCTCAACAAAAAAGAGAAAAAGGATCAAAGGCCAAGGCATTGTTCTTCCAAGTCAACTGCAATTACATTTGGTCAAGAAAGGAAGGGGTGATGTGATGCTAATTATCCTAATGAACATAGTCCCATGTCTGGTGGATGGTAAGGCTAAACACTGTTGTTTGATCAGTGCTGATTTGGTGGATGGATTACATCACAAGGTTCTAATTGTTGCTTCATTTAGAACAATCCTTGTTGAAATCAATAGATTGATGCTTGGCTTTGGCTTTGAGGATTGTGATGTCGTAATCATGCTCTTCTCACGTTTAATTATTCAATGTCATATTAATATTAAATTAATCATTTAGACATTCGATTGATTAATGTATTGTTGGTTTTATTTATGTAATAAAAACTTAATTAAAAAATGTCAAGTTAACCGATTCGAGTCGATCACATCAAACCACTATCCGTCTCTGATGTCGTAACTTATCATGTCAACCCAACCGGAGAAACCTCGCTTCGAGCCGAACAGAACCCTAACCAGAAAGTTTGAGGAATTTTATTCCTACCCGTTGAAGCACCTACAATCATATTATCCGATCACTTGGGTCCCATGAGAATGTCTCGATAACAAGGGCGGGTAAGAGATGAGGAGATGTAAGTAGGTGGGAAAGCGTTTCCAGGGGGGCTGCGGCACGAGTCGGCCGTCATCTTAAACATGGTCGCCAGCCCTTTCCGCTCGTGGAGCGCCCGCCTCGCTTGGCTTTGACGATCTCGGAGGTACTGTGCTCTCTCGGTTCCCCTCGTTTTAGATTCCACTCGGCAATCCAGGGGCGAGCTCGGTGCATGGCCGACGCTGATGGAGAGGCCCGGGAAGCCCCCAAGGCGGAGGAGAAGCCGCAGATAGAGCCTCTGCGGCTTCCGACGCCGGAGGAGATACGAGGGCAGGACATCTGGAACAACTGCGCCGTCCGTAGCGTCGTCAGCGGCGTCATGGGTAAAACTCTTTCCCTGTTCTTGTTGGTTCCACGCTAACGACTGCTTTGGTCTGCTGAAAGGCGAGATCTTTATCGGTTATTTTCTGAATTTGTGGTTGGGGTTTCGGATTTGGTGCTCCTTTTTGAGGTTTCCTCTTGAGTGCCATCTGAATATTTTTGCTCTCAATGTGTTTGGCATTAGTTCAATGCTAATGCTTCATGAGAAACTGGAAATCTTGTTTGGGTTCCCAGTGGACGAGCGCTACGAGACTTTGGGGCGCTCGTTGGTGTACATGGAATATACCTAGTTTCTTATGCACTCTATGTTCGTTCAAGATACGAACTTTAACGGTTTTTTCTTGACTGGATATGATTTAAAATGGATTGGAAATAAGGAGGCGTATGTATGATCCAGTGACGCAAGCTTGTGTATGACACATTCGAGACCTAATATTTGGAGTAGTTCAAAGACCTCATTGGATCGAGGAGCTTCATTTATAGTCAGTACAGGCTATTTTATTCGTATTTATCTTCCTGTAGGCTAATTGCTTTCCCTCTTTGTTGTTCTTTTATTGATATTTTGCAAGATCAATGAATAGGCATTTTTTTTTTAAATTTGGCATTTTTAGGTGGTGGACTTGGTTTATTCATGGGCTTGTTCCTTGGAGCTCTGGATAATCCTATAATGCAGGATGAGATGACTACAAAGCAGCAATTCATATATACCGCAAAACAAATGGGCCGGAGGAGCTATAGCTCTGCAAAAGCATTTGCCGTCATGGGCTTCGTTTTCTCAGCTGCTGAATGTGTTATAGAGAAGGTAAATGAATAAAAATGGGTATATATTTTTGGCCTTCTTTTGTTAGACTGACTTGATTCAATATTCTGATATTTTTCTAGGCTCGAGCGAAACATGACACTACAAACACAGTTGTTGCTGGTTGTGTTACCGGTGGGGCTATATCTGCAAGAGGTAATTTTCTCCATTGCAAGTAGGTGGAACCCAAAATATTAAAGTAGGGAATGATGTTTGAAGGTTTACATACTCGAGCAAAATGATGAAATTTATAGAAGAGATGGTTTCTTCTTGTGATATATTTTCTTTATTTACATGGTTTTCCATACTATTCAACAAAAATACTAGTGCTGCTTGAATTTTTTGTCATAACGTTCTTTTAACCATCCTTCACAGTTCAGTAACTCCTGAATCTATAGTTGCATTAATCCATATTCATTAATCTGCTTTGACCCTACAAAACTTGAAATGTTTCTTTCGGAGTGAATTATATGGTACAGCATTGGTAACTCTTTTTCGCCTACTATGTAGTGCCAAATCATTTTTAAAGGCAATGTACCATAGATGAACTTCTGAATTTGCATCCTCGTATCATTTGAATCTTGACCACCTAACACTGATAGTGATCAGCCACCTGTTGGCAAGTCTCTCATAATTGAAATTGAGACAACTTCTGTATTATGCTTCAGTGCTTACAATGGTTAAATTTGTGTGCGATGCAAATTTAGATACTATGATGGTTATTCAACCAGAGAGTTTTCCACTGTTAAGCAAGAGCCAGATCATAGTCGAACTTGGTCAAAAATTTTAGTTTCCCAAAATTTATTATCTGATGCCAGAAATATCCCCTTCTTAGAATGGTATCTTCCAAATTATCTATCTTCCAAATTTTGTAGTCCTTTTCTGATTGAAGTGATCATGTGCAAAGCCGTGATAGCTTTCATCTGACAGCTTATAAATTGTTTCCAGCTGATATTCCCACTAGTTCTATAGAGAAGCTTCAGACTGAAAATTTTATTGAGCAAAGTTTGTGGAACTCAGGAGGCTAGAATACATGGGTGCCTGTAAAACCTCTGAAAGCAAAGTTCTGTTACACAGCATGGAAAAGGAGCCCATGCTAGAAAAATTGAAGATGATCAAATTAAATTTGGTCATCTTAGGATGTTTGAATATCATTCTTAAGGGCTTGGTAGTTGAAATCTTGGTTGATATGGATTGCTTTCGGGGATCTACAACTTTGTTTCTCTGTTATGAATAGTCGATTACTTGTCTTGATGGAACCTGAGGCATTGTTATGCTATTATGATTGGCATAAAGGAAAAAACCAAAGCAATGTGATTCAGAGAAATAAAATTAATAAAAAGGATAATGAGTGTAACATTTGACTTGGTAACAAACTTTAAATTGAGTTGCCAAATGTATACTTAATTCTTTTAGTTCAACACCTTTTTGTAGAGTTGGCGGGCGAGCCTTGGTACAACAGTAAGGTTGCTCATTTGCGACTTGGGAGATCAGGGTTTGAGTCATGGAAACAGTCTCTTTAAATATTTAAAGGCAAGGCTGCGTACATTGATCCTCTCCAGACCCTGCATTGGCGGGAGCCTCATGCATTGGGTATGCCCCTTACCTTTTTGTAGAGTTGTTATCAAGTTACCAATCCCATATGCTACATATCCTTTTCTTAGTTTTCATATGAATCTGGAAAAGGGTGTCACACAGAAGCAAAGAAGAATTTAGAGCTTTCCCTTGGTCATGTATTTGGTGAAGTGCAATGTACATGTGTGTCATTCAAAGCGTAATTACAAGACTGCAACCTGAGTTATTAGGAAAATTTCATCAAGCAATCTGTAGGTCTTACAGAAAGCAATAATGTGAAAAATTAGTTGCTGTAGAACTACTATTGTTTGTTTGTTACTAGTTTGCATGCTCACTTTAGGTTTGCAGATTTCTTAATATCATAGGTCTCTTTTTTTTTTTTTTTCAGTTTAAAGCCATAATGTCAACTTTGTAGTGTTTTGTAGGTGTAGCTTCAGTACTACATCAAAGTGATGCATGATCTGATTTAAAAGAGCAGCTTAGGTTCCATACTTGAATCTCAGTATAAAATTGGGGTACATTTTTGGTATAATGCTCGTAAATTTCATTCCAGGAATGGTATCTTCATATGCAGCTGTATTTTTGTAATATGTAATTGACACTACATATATAGTTTCACTGGCCGTCTATAAGCAAATAATTATTTGCTAATGTGATCTCCACTTTTCAGGTGGTCCGAAGGCTGCTTGTGTTGGTTGTGCAGGTTTTGCAGCGTTCTCAGTTGCAATCGAAAAGTTCTTTGATCGGCATTCTTAATCTTCAACATTTGGTTTATTACATAGGTTCTATTGCCCAAATTAGTGGTGGTGGAGTATCTACACCTCCAACTTCCAGAAAATTTTAACAAATCATATCTTCTGATGTTTTCATCATCCTTTGATTTCATCCCACCATATTGAGATGTATCAATATCTATTCTTTTACATCTTGACAAATTGAGTTTGTGGCTTCTTATTGGCCTTTTATACACTGGAATAATTGGTGTTCTGCCTCAGTGTGTAATGTCTCTGTAGTATCAGTTCGGATTGCTAGTACCCAGGTGTTCATGGTAGACTGCTTCTGGGACAGTATGCTAATTATGTTCGTGGGACCATTGGAGAAAGAATCCCAAGCTTTTGGACTTTATCATTGTTTTAGCTCACTTTGGCTACAGCTAACATAATATCAAAAGATATCAGCCTTGGCATTGCAACAGAATAGCTGTTCCTGTTTGAATTCTGCTGTTGAAGAGCTGAGTTAAAACAACTTTTATCTCACGAGGGTTTACCAGGGAGAGTTACCCATTACACTCTTCTTTCTTAACCTGATCCAGTTTGATGTTTTAAGTGAAGGAGGACCATCAATTACTACATTAACCTAATTGTGATTTACTTTCTGCTGTATAGCTATCGTCTGACAGGAAGCTGGTGATAGAGGAATTGGCTTAATAATGACAAACAAGAGTGACAATGTATACCTTAGAAGTTTGAGGTTGCTAATTACATAGGGAAGCAGCTACCAAGATGAAGTTACAGAATGTGTCCAAGATTTGAGAGAATCCAGTCGAAACATACATGAGGTGAAGCAATCAGATGTGCTGCATAAAGAGATCCATACAATAATCAAGATATATCAATCGATTTGTTCAACTTTAAGACTCTGGATATCTGCAACTTTTGTATCCAAAAGAAACAGATAGAATTGGAAGCATATTAACAATCACAGTCACTTCAGATCTTCATGTTTTACCTCATCTCCTTGAACCTGTAAAAAACATAACTAAATTGTTCACACATCATCAGGAAACATATCGTTCTAGTTGATCATGCAAAACAATACGGTGATGCGAGTCAGAGACCTCCTTGGAAGTGAACTAGAATTGTACGCACGGCTTGTCTTTGCTGCAATCCTTGATCATGAATACTCTCAGAAGAAAATATATCATCTCAAGCAATACATTTGCTAACATCCAGATTCTGATACGCGAATGGAGACAATAATGAGATTAACGATGATAAATAGTGCTCATATATCATCTCAAGCAATACATTTGCTAACATCCAGATTCTGATACGTGAACGGAGACAATAATGAGATTAACGATGATAAATAGTGCTCGGTACGTAGAAAGTTCATCATTGGTTTCCTTTAAGAAGTTGTACATGGTGTTATAACAATGGAGAGATCAAAGGCCCTAAGAATACGGGCATCACCTCTCATAAGCCCAACTGAAGAGAAGCAATTACAGTTGGTTAGCAGAAACTTTTACCCGTAATCAAAAGGAATACATATCACAAAGAGAAGAACATCATAAGCGTGGAATATAAGTTCGGAGCAAAAAATCTAATTACCTTTAAGTGGACTAACTTATGATAACCTTTTCTTCGGAGAATGTGATCCGGTCGATACTGGTCTTAAGCTGTCAGCATTTCTCTAGTATCCACTTTCCCTAGACATGAAAAATCTGCTTGGCAGTTTCAGAAGTTGAGATCTATACCTCATTTCTAATGCAAATGCAATCTTGAACTAGATTGCTATTTTTCTCATCAATAAACTCTTCATGACACTGATCGGACAAGTAGTCTTAAACAACAACAGTAAGTTTCTGCAAAACCATGCTTGTCCAGTATCCACAGACCTTCTTTGTCCTTTCAAAAACTTGATCTGAACAATTTACTCAGTCAGATAAATAAGAAGTCAGTGCTCAAGTCTCTTCAAAATTTGTAGTTCATGACCAAATAGTTCGTAACTAGAAAGAACATTACTGTCAATGATCACTGGCCAAATGCTCAGACTTGATCAAAGAGTTGAAAATGACTTGACACAGAACATTATCACATACTACTAATGAAGCAGAATAATATGTTACAGTAAGAACAGTATCTTAAGGAAAACGTGTAACAATTATTGCATCGATTATTTTATCTCTAGGCGATGCTTTGTATAAACCAAATAGGAACACTGAGCGAGCACAACCAAGCTAACAAAAGAGTAGGAAGACACTACTGAAAGGATAATTCAGAAGACAGTTGTGTTATCGCTTAAAAGCAAACCATCCTCAGCAGTAACCCTTCTTGAGTAGGAGAATCCAGTATGGTCGCGATACTGGTAAGTTTGTAGGGTTGCTGCTGAACCAGCAAGAACAGAGTGATCCTGCACAAGCATCCAACCATCAGCTTTTTGTTGATCAGTTATGGAGTTGTACGTCCTCCCTCTATCTAACATGACCAAGGTTTGTTCAGACAAAATGTGAGAGAGGTTAGTCGTCATTCTGTAGGTATTATTTTCCGCAGGCAGAGTCGAAGACACGATCAGAAGAGGATATTTAAACTTGTAACTTCCCTGAGCAAGTATGGCCTTTGGGCCCTCTTTAATTTGAACTCCTGTCTTCAACTTTGCCTTCATCTGAACTTCTTTACGGTTTCCATTATCTGTGAATCCCACTAAACTCTTGAACTTGAGCTTGAAATTAACGTCGGTGGTGAGATTTCCTATAGATGAATTCACCCACCCTGAGAAGTAAGATTTCCTCCCAGCTCCGATCGTGAAAGTTCCATTAAGACGGTGCGAAATTGAACGACGAGAGATCGAAATCTTGGGAGCCTGGTAGTGGAGGAGCCTCGCGGTGACATAAGATGACTGTGAATCCAACCAGAGGTGTAAGTTTGCATCAACGAGCCAAAATGCTATGCCATCAGTGACACCAATGCCAAGATCATGAGGTCTCCCATCCAAGAGAAGGCCAAGGAATGGAGTCAAGTCCAAATTGTATGATGGCAGATCGAATGCCCCGAGAGCCACCACTGGCTCCCAGAACAAAGGATTGATCCCTCCGGTGAATATAACAGGAAAAGGCACAATCGAGCCCACGAAACGTCCATCAATCTTAGCATAGACTTCGCGGAATGAACCATTGCCCCTTTCGGTGGTGAGATTGTTCTGCTGAATGTAGGAATTGGGCGGATTGGAGTACCAGAACTCGTCATTGGAATGATAAGAAACGTAGATCTCAAGGACTGCTCGATAAGCGTTCTTCGGAATCTGAATTCTCTTGAAGTGCACATCGGACTCGTTCTGTATTCGGAACCAGAATCCAGTTTGGCTGTCGTTGCTCGAGATGGGTATGATCATATCAGCTGGCTCCCTGTATAAAGATGGCACCTTTGCTTTGGCCCCAGTCGAGATGTCGGCTTCTGATGAAGAAAGACCTAATTTTTGCTCGAGCTGAGGCTTCGATTCTCCCAATATTCTCTTATTGGGTATTAGGGATGCCCCTTTCGATGTGCGAAGCATCAATTGGGGATGATACTGCGACTCCAATCCTGGCGTTGGCTCCTCCTCCTTCATGTAGAAATCCAAGGAGACATTCACGTGATACACTCCGGTGAAGACGTCGTTGACGATGTTCTCCAGCATCATCGAGGCCACGCCGCCCTCCTCGCGGCGAAGCAGGGCGGCGTAGCGGGTGATGTCCTTGCGGACCCGCCAGAACACGCCGGACTCGGACGGCTCGGCGGTGCTGGTCCGGAGCAGCTCGGCGCCATCGAGCCACACGGCGGCAATCCGGTCGTACTGCTCGCCGGCGCACGCGACGGAGAGGTCGAGCACGACGCGGGCCCATGGGGCGGGGCACCCCGGCGGCGGCGCGTACGCGGCGGTCGCGGGCGGGCGGCCGTAGGTATCGCCGAAGTCGTGACGGAGGAGGGGGAGGGAGCACGAGGGAGGCCGCTGCGGGAGGAGGAAGTCGGGTCCTGTGGGGTCCAAGAACTCTTGTGGCTCTGCAGCGCGCGGGGCCCGCGGGGCGAAACGGTAGCGCTCGGTGGGACATGGGGTGGCGGAGACGCGGGTAGAGAAGTGGGTGCACAAGGCGGATATGAATACGAGTGGCAGAAGGAGCGAGGTGGGTTTGCTTCGACACATCATGTGATGAGCTTCAATCGAATCGAATTGGAGATGGAATGAAGTGTATGTTTTGGGTGGGGGGCATATTTATAGTGAGATGGTTGCAATTGGGGCTTTGAGAGGAAGAGAAAGGGACTAAAATTGTACGAAGGTATGCAACAATTTCCTCCCTCCCTTCCTTCCTGATTAGTACTCACATATAATAGTTCAATAAGAGAGGAGGAAGAATTGAGAAGCTTAATTAGATTGGGTTTTGAATAGGGCAATGTCTTCTCCATGATTCCTTGGAGATAAGTTCACGGGATTGTGAGGACACGGATGGGGGTAATGAGAAGTTACATCGAACCATAATGGGAGACGATAAGGTTGTTGCTTTCCAATTGCTTCTTCCTTACAACAATAATTGATCTTCTTTTCTTTTTTTTGTTTCCTTGCAAGTGCTTTCATACAATAATAATCAAAATTGTGATTCATGCCATAGAGCCCTTTCATGCTTCTTCTCTCTTCCCATCTCCTGTTCCATAATGCTTTGGAATCTTTCTTTCTTTCCCTCTAACTGTTGTATCACTCTCTTGGATGGGATAGATTGTGGATGATGCTGATAAGCTTGACCTAGTTGAGAGTGGTCCTGATATGATACGCCTCCTCGATATTGAGAGTGAGCCTATGATGTGATCATCAAGTTAACTCATGATATCAGATTAGTAGAAGAGGGGAAGAAGAGTCTAAACCTTATAGTTTGACTTATTATTATAAACATAAAGCTCAACTCAAACCTAAGACCTATTAGTTAGTATAATAATGCATTAATCAATTTGAATATCTCATGCTATAATAATATTTTACATTATTTTTTTTAAAATAATTATATATATATATATATATATATATATAATTTCAGGAAAAAAAATAATTCCCCTCTCGTAATTATATATATAATTGTAATTGAGAATTAGGGAAAAAGAACAAAAAGAGGAGCCATAAACCATCGTAAAAAAAATAGTAGGATAAGAATAAAACACATCAAACATTACAATTTATATCTCACACATTTCACGAGCAATTCCCAAACTTGTCTTTTACTGACCCAAACAGCATTGTTTCAATAAAGTAACTTGAGACCATAGAGAGGCTGTCATATGGAGGCTAAACAAGCAGAACAAAACAAGGATCCAGCAATTATTATGGTTTGCTTTGAATCTTCTTTTTTTTTTTCCCTCCCTACAAAGTAGTGTACACTCATGTGTGGTAGAAAATAGGCTGGAAGATAAATTTTCGGTTTACATTCACAACCTAATTTCTGTCTCTTGCATATCTACTCGTTTCTTCGGCCACGGTTGCCCAGACATTTGCAATCTTTTCTGAATATCCAACCTGCTCAATGTACACAATAATATGAGCCAAAGAATCAGTAAGTTATGATGTCGAAAGACAAATAAAATGATTCTAGTATCTATAAACTCAAAATTCAATTAGTGAACGTAAATGTTGAACAAGATGGTTCGATAATTTTCTTATAATAACATACACAGGGTAATGACTTTTGGGGAATCAAAACAGCATCCCTGTCTTTAGCAAAAATCAAGCGGGAAAAGCTAGATGCACGATGCTTCAAACAACAGCATGGTCCAAAGAAGAATCTTATGTGCTAGGAAACCTAGCACTCGATAAAGTCACTTAAGGAAAATATCCTTGGCAATGTTAAATGAAAAAAAATAAAGCACATATATAAAAATATTATCTTTAAAAGATATCGTATCTTGTCAGTGATGGCTATTCCAGATAGAACCTGCTGTCTTAGGATATGGATACCAACACTGATCAAATAAATACAAACTAGAGTTAGTAAATCTTTTTTTTTTCGTGAGCTTGTTCAGAGTGATTGGTGCTCTAGGAAAATCTATCTCCAAATAACTATAATAAAAATAGAATCCATTTAGAGAGACAACAGATTCCTCAGTAACAAAAAAGTGCAAAATATGACATATCTATTACTCTCCTGAAAAAGCTTAATTTCGTGTCTAATGACTCGTACACTTGCATCTGAGAACATTAATGTATGACATCTATCTTTAGATAACTGATCTAGGAAAGTTGCATACCATGTGGAACCAATAACTTCCAATAAACCTACTACTGGATTGTGAAGAGTACCAGCTCTTAAATGACAAGCTCAAGCAAAAGAGTAGCCTAGCTTTCTTAGTCAAAGATATAGAATCATACTGGATTAATTGCCACTTCCAAATATTAACTCCTACATCATCAAGCAAAGATAGAGCAGTACCTGATTTATTACAAACCCTTTCAGCATGCTAAGAAAATCATCATGCCTTTCTCTGTCTAGCCTATCAAGTTCATTCCGATTGTTTTCCTGCATAAATTTCAACAACTGACTTAGATATCCACAATATAATATCATAGTTATTATATACTCTTGTGCACATTCTAAGGAAACAGAACAGGAAGCAAGAACGAAAAGGCCTCCCAAACTCTAGCATCAGGCAACCGATATCTAATGCATAAGTAATAATCACAAACCTTACAAACTGAGATTTATCAATTTTGTCATCGTAACAAGATATAAGCTCATTGGAAGAACAACTTTCATCACCAAAGTGGACCATAGAAAAACCGCATAAAAGAATGCTTAGTGCTCTTTGGACAGTTGGACAAATATGACCAGAGTACTACATTACTACAGTATTCTGATTTTGCTTTTTTGCAATAGAAATGGTATTTAGGGAATTTTTTTCTGTGCACATGCCGTTATTCATATTCCAAGTTCCTATTTCTCTTCTCACTACATATCTTCATCAGTTCCTCTTTTCAAGCACCAAAATGATAAATTTGATGTCCCACTGTTTCGAAATTCTTGAATAAATTTAGAATTCATGTCATCATGGCGAAAAAGTCAATTAGTAAGATCTTCGTTGTGTCCATCATTGAGGTCTCTTTGAAAATTCAATTGTCATTGGAAAATCCAGCTCGCATACCAAAGTCCAATGCAAACAAAGTATAGACATGACAAATCTGAGAGATGTTATTCAGAAATAGTTTTCAGGTCTGTCTGGATTTAAGCCAATATGACTGATTGGGGAAAATGAGATATGCACAGAGAGAGCAATAAAAGGTTCCTGGACAATCTGTGTTGAGATTATGCAGAAGGGAATCCTTAAGCCTAACTATACAGCAATGTAAGAACATAATTTTTCATTTCATAAGCCATTTAAGATCCTTAAATTACAGGAGACTATTCTATGGTATATGAACTTCTACAGTGAAAAATTCCTAATAAAAGGTACTAACCGTATGACTATTCTCTAACATAATCATTTTTAATGATGATTAATTTTTTATTCAAAGACAATACTCAGTGTTGTCATGTTTAGACACAGGTAAACTGCAGAAATTTAATATTAATTTAGATAAGATCCACAAAGTGCAAATGTTTTACTAATTATGCTGCATCATATAAGATGTCCACCATCATTTAGAATTATAAATTTCATTTAGTAGTGAAATCAGATACTTATGCTAAATTTTCTGGTGCAGTTCTGAAGCTACACAAATATTCTAGGTGTTCCTTTTTGTTAGGTGTTTGAACAGATTTAGCTCAAAGCAATGTGTGTTAATGCTGTTTCTTTTTCAATAGGTTGGACTGGACTGCCCGAAATGGGGTGATCTGCATCTTGGTTTGGGCTTGGACCAGTACATAACGGTCAGTACGAGCCGAACTTGACAAAACATCCTGGTTAAAAGAGATTTCATGGTAGGCATAGGGCCTACAAAAAGTCAAAAACTATCATGAAGTTTCTGGGAGGTCAGATAATTGGAACAGATGAATTGGTACTTGGTAGAAATGATAATTTTCATTTAAAAATGTATTTGGTGTTCATACATTGTTCTGATTGCTTTATGAAGAGACAAGTAGAATACCTTTATCCTCTCATACTCTTTAATGGCACAGATTTTAGCATTCTCAGTGGCTCTTATTGTTTCTCTTAGCTCCTCCACTTTGCGGAGTCTTGAGCTGTCACCACCAAATATCTTCGAGGATGCAGCTTCAAGTTTCTCAATTCTTGTATTCAAGGTTGTTAAATCTGACATTAGTGTTTGGACTGTCAAAAGAGCGCTGGCCCTGTCTGAGAATGCACTGTGGACGGCTAACATTAATCCTAGATATTCATGCAGTGTGTCCTGCAAAATGATATTCCAAAAGTAAATATGGAGACACCATAGGGCCCCCCCTCATGTTCTTGAGTTTCTTTCCTCAAATTATGTTCATGACAGAATGGCTAAGATTTGATCATACCAGATGTTTGACAGTTTGAGCATTCAATTCTCGATATAGCCTGCTTGCTTTTACAGCAGCAGTTGCAACATTTTTGGTATCAGCAGCTCGGACTTTCTGAGTGTTGTATACACCCTCCTCAGTCTCAAACTTTGTCAATTTGATGAAGGCCAAACCCAACTCTCCCATTGTTTCCCCAATATCTTGTTGTCCTTTAACTAGAGCCTCAGCCTGCAAAAGGAAATGCTCAACTTATAAGAAACCAAAACAGCATAAGAGTAAAATCTAAAGATACAAAAAACTTAATACACATAATGAAATCTAACAAGACTCTGAAGGTCATTTTGGTAGACTATATAAAGCACACAAGGAGCGCATTTACACCCTTATTTTTGCTTTAGTGATCATTGCCAAAGAAAGAGGTTTCAAATCTATTTAATAACAATAAAGAAACAAAAGTAAAAAAAATCATACATGTGACTCTTCCTTTAAGAGGAGAGAGGAAGTGTGTGTGCATTTGCTACCAAGTATACTCTGAATGCAAACACATCACGCAAGATTGGGGTACCAATTGTAGCCCCCCTTGAATTTGATCCTTTACCATCACACAAACAATTTGCAAACGTTGATCTGGCCCTATAATGAGATTTACTGCATCCTCAAACTATACCACATAAGAAAATTCAAAAGAAGGGAATGACAAGAGGCAATATAATTGTATCCGTCAGTAAAACTCATGGGCATCAACAAGCAATTTAGTCTGTTGAGATGCAAAAGGTTCCAGAATGGAGACCTGATAGCGATCCAACTGGTCATCACCAGCAACTCCTATTCTGTCAAAAACAACAGTACAATTGAGTAGGAAAGGATAAGTAGCTTCTTATATTCACAACTGTATACATCCTCAAACTACACGTGAGAGCAGGGCATGATGAGACTTTCATGTCCCTCTTATCATAACAATAATGCATTAAACACCAAAAGCAATAGTGAAGGAATATCCTTCCAAACCTAATGTTTGTGTTCATAATAAATGTGAATCAAGTGTCGTATCTCGATATCTAACCCCATTAGTTCCCTATAACCAACATGCAAAGATCATTTGGGGAAAAAAAAAAGTCAATCAATCATGCTAGTCCAGTTTGCAGGCTTTCATATAAGTAGAAGCCATAGCATCTCCCTACAAAATACAAAATGTTACATTATAAAAGCCTCCAAATCTAGTGGTAATAGCCTAATAGGTGATATGATTGTTAGGTGATATGATTGTGATCTTCAGTTAAATTTATCGGCGTCAATGAGAAATTTGGTCTGTCAAAAGAGACAATATCAGTTAAAAATACAAAAGGTTCCAAAATGGAGACCAAATTGCCGTCCAATTGGCCAACACCAGCATCTCTTATCCTGTAAATAACTGCAACAGAATTGAGTGGGAAAGAGAAGTCACTAACTATATTACTCCCTTGTACATCCTTAGATTACACTTGAGTCTGGGGCGTCACAATGTTTCATGTTCCTTGTCTCATAACAATGATATAGTGAACCAAGGATGCAATTTGCCGGGACCAGTATATACCCCATGCCTGTTGTTAAGAAACTTGTCCCCGATCATAAATGAATTGAAGTTATAAGGAGATAGGAGTACCAAAAAACAACCACGTAGTGTATCTCGCAGAAGTATGTTTTGAGACTCCAACTTATAGAATCTTAAGAAAGAGTCATGCAAAATACCAAAATGCCGATAACAGTCAGCATTGCTCCTTACACAGCTGAGTTTCTGCATAACAAAGTCTTGTACAAGCATTAGCTAGTCATCTACTATGAATTGCTGACAAATATATAGGCCTAAAAGAGACCAAGACGCCACTACTAGCAGCAACTGATCAATCTAAAAATCTTCATCCAAACAGTATGAAACTTTCCAATGAATGTGTTGTAAATTGTAATGGCGAGGTGAAGCTCTCAAGACACGCATGCAAAAGGAATGAAGGTTCCAGATAGTTGACAATCCCGGACTTTGAACTAATAAACATTGGTTAACGATAATTCAGTTTGAACTAATAAACTTCGCCAGTTTCATAAAAAAACTATTCACCCTATGACCGCCAAGCAATATCCTCCGCCACTCCATTAAAATATCTAGATTGTAGTTCTGGTACTTTTGTTTATTCATAACCAATAAAACTCAGAGCTGAAACAAACTTAATAAAAAGGGCAGCCCTAACAAACAAGACTCTTGCCAATGCAGGCTTCGGAGATGATCGATTTATGCACTCATACAGTTGCTTGATTGTGTTTGTAAAAAACCTAATTTAACTAAACTAAACTAAACTAAACTATTTCCTTTTCAGTTTTGTTTACCATAACAGCACCACTTTCGGCAAGTATACAACCATCAGTAAATTAACAGATATCAGAACAGCAGTCCAAATTAATGCTCAGAATTTATTGGCACACCTGCTGAGATGCAATGCTGAGCTGCTGTTCAAGGTCCTGCATCTTTTCCTTGCTCTCCAAGAACTCCTTGTCCTCCTCCACCAGCAATGGCTTCACTCCTCCCCAGTCATTGGTCACGGCCTGCTTCAGCTCCTTAAATATCCTCAGCAAGTCTCTGCCTCCTTTTGCAGGCTGCACTACATCTTGTGGCGCGACTTGTGCAGCTGGTCCCTCACCGAAGAGCTGCTTTGGCAGCCTCACCGCACCATCTAGCATCCTCGATGCCACATCTGTGGTGGTCGGTAACGGCAGCTTCCCCTTCGCCTGCAGGAACACCCTAAGCTCATCACTCTTCCCAATCACCGGATGCTCCGCGAGCCGCCACAGGTACTTCTCAAGCGCTGACCGCCGCTGCTCCACGAACTCGTGCTTCTGCATCACCTGGCTCTCGACCACGTTCTTATCCGGCCGCGGTGGGATGAAGAAGCCTCGGTAGGCCTCCGCAAGCCGATCGGCGAGCGTCACCACGTCCCGGAACCGACGCCGCACGCTGAACTCGATCGGCCCAGTCTCAACTTCCCCGGCGGCGGCGGAGCGGACGCGGGTGGTGATCAGGTAGGTGACGTAGGTCGCGCCGCCTGGGACGAGCGAATTCGCGGTCTCCTGCTCCTTTTGCGGGTCAGCGACCGCGATCTTTAGGTAGTCGGAGGCGGCGGTACGGGCGGATCTGGGGGAGCAGTCGCGGTGGACGAAGGAACCCTGATCGGAACCGCCGTTGTTCTGGGACTCGAAGGGGCTGAAGACGACGTCGGCATAGGAGGGCGGCTCGAGGAAGGAGGAGGCCGACGAGGAGGAGGCGTCCCCGCCGTCGCCGTAGGCAGGGGAGGAGGGAGAGAACTGGAGGTGGTGAGGAGGGTAGAGGAGTGGATCACCACCACCGGCGTCCACGGAAGCGGCGGAGACGGCGGTGGGGAGGGAGGAGGACATGGCAGAGCGGTAGTCGGAGGAGGGGGCGTCGGAGAGGGCGAGGCTCTCCATCTCTTCTCTCACGGGGGGCGACTCGAACCCGAATGGGGTCTCCGGACCCATCATGGCCGCTTTATTATCAATTACCTTCTATATAAGAATTTGGTAGAATTGAACATGAATCGGAGGAGGAGATCTGAAGACGAAGGGGCGCTCCGGCGGTGAGGATAAAGGGCAGGGGGGGTTTGGGAGAGACGGCACGTTGGCACGTGGTATTGGTGGGTCACGTGACTTGGCATGGATCCGAGGGCCAGGGGTTCGGGTGGTGTGGCCGAACCACCATACTCGTGATCCCACCGTGCTAAACCTCCACCGTCGCTCCTACCCACCTCCTTCTTGGAGGAAGAAGACGGGCCTGGGGTGGGACCCACGTGCGGGACCATTTAGTCGTTTTGATCGCACGGAGCGATAAACAGTGATCCACGCCCTGCGAATGACATGGGGGACTACCTACCCTGTCACCGGGGGGGGCGTCCACGGGGTTCGAGTGGGACCCACCCGTAAAACCATATTGAGGCTCGAATTAAAGACGGGTACAGACTCGGGACGGCGGTCACGAGTGATTGAAAAGGTATTCCTTTCGTTATGCGTGGTTGCTTCGATTGTGTGTTGTTCGGCGAAAACGTATTCCTTTTATTTTTTTAATGGAAGATGTTTTCTATTATCTGAAAATAAATTTACACCTTGCCCTCAGAGAATCCCAAAATTTCAATCAATACCACATTCCAAGTTGTGCTTGATCTTAATTTCAACAAAAAGATGATACAAAGAAAATTCTATTGAGGCTCAAAGAATTTTTACCATGAATCAACTTACTTGTAAATGATACGAAAGTTATCATACATAGACAATACCAACATACGTCCATTTGCTCAACAAGTTATTTATACATCAAATGAGACCTAGTCCTATGAGATTGACCACATGGGTACAAATAAGGATTTTGGTTCGATCGTATGAGATTAGGTTCATGACATCTTCGAGAAAATTAATTCTATAAATTATTACTTACCAATTATCGAGTTTGACGTGTTATCCCACCACCGATTGAACGATGCACATAATCATTCTTTATATATACTATAATCTTAATCTAATATCTATCATATCGTAAAAAGTAGAGATGTCATAATAAAAACAAGAATATTTAGGGTGATAGAAAATAATCCTTATCCCTTCCTCATTAAGGGTGGATCTATGTGGATACCTATACTCTCAGGTATAATTAATACATCTAATAAAAAGACTCATATATTTTCGGAAGCTTCTACTTGAATACATTCTCCAGCTTTGACAGTTATCTAAATTCATCAAATATTCACTGATCTAAATATTAGAGAGGTTTTGATAGGTATGCCCTCGATATAACACTTTGTAAAATCATAATATGAATCTATTGACTTCTTGACATTTCAACATAAGATAGATTTGAAAGTAGATTTGATTGGCTCTTAACCCAATCCATGTATTAAGTAAATAATATGAAACTTATCTCAAACTTAATTTTCTTGATACCCTATATTTTATTAAGAAGAACCTATAACAATTATAGGGTGATTGATCGCCCATTAAAAACTTATAACCAGTGACAATTTTCATAACATATGATGAATTTGAATGTTAGAATAATTAAAAAAAAAACCCTTTCCTCACTCCTCTTACGATCTCTTTCATTCTTTCATTCTTTACTTTACTTTTCAACTCTTTCATTCTTTCTCAGACTCTGATTCTCATATTTTCTTTTTTTTAACTCAAACAAAATTATAATTTATGGATTGGAGCAAATTTAAAAGGTTTAACACTTAAGTTAAAGAAGGATTATTCTAATCAAGAGGCATATATTCCTAGTATTTCATTGATTTATGAGATGATTAACCATATTTTATGTGGTTAATATCTAGTAGATTATTTGACATATTTATATGACAGAATAGGGTTAGTTAGGAAGTAATTAAGATTTTTAATACTATAATTAGTGTATTAAATACTAATTTGATCAAAATCAGGCATATATCGGGTGAAATGTATGTATTTAATATACATTATGATAATTTACATATTTAAGATGGTAGAAGAGGACCTTTAATTAACTTTAAAATATTATGATTAGCAATTTTAATGATAATTTTATCAAAATTTGACATGTTTATAGTGGTGAAAGAAGGCTGACTAGGTAATAATTAAGTATATTAATACTATAATTAGTTGATTTAATTATAATTTTATTATAATTTGATCAATATTGAGTTAATTCTATGCATTTAATGTTCTAGGAGATAAAATAAGGCTATAGGGAGTTATTAAGTTTTATAATATTATAATTAATTTATTTAATGATGATTTTATTGTACTTTGATTAAAATTGAGTTAATTCTATATATTTGATTCCTTTTAAGATGTTTGACATATTTATAGTGGTAAAATAGGACTAATTAGAAAGTAATTAATTTTTATAATAATATTATTAGTAGATTTAATGATGATTTTATTATATTTTGATCTATATTGGGTCAATTTTATGTATTTAATGTCGATTGACATATTTATAGTAACAAAGTAAGATTTATTATATATAATCATAGTTTATTATTTTAAATTCAATGAAAATTAGGGCAAATTATAATTTATTAATTTAATAATTTTTTGTTGGAATATGGTACCCAAACAATAGACATTTGATGGTGCGTGGGATTATAGTCATCGTTTGGATAATACTCGTCATAATTGATGATGTATTTATTTTGATTACATCAATTAAGGTGGAGGAATTAATCGGTTGAAGTAACATTTGGCTTTCTTGAGATTATAAAATAAAAAAGATTTTGATAGAGGTCTATCAATTATTTCAAAATAAGTTATAAGAGATGATACAATTTAAAAGAAGGGCTATGAATAAGAAGAATACAAATCGTGTTGCGTAGGAATAGTTTCATGATAAATTAAGAGTAGCTACATTAGCTCATATCTTAGAGTTGGTATTTATGCGTCACTGGAGTATCAATACATGTATGAGGACACAATGAGATATTGATGGCCTGACTAGTATAACGATGGCAATGGATCTATGCTATAGGGATTTTAAATGAGTGCTAGCATGATATAGTCAATTGCTCCTCTTAGTTTAGCATGATTTGTAGTATGAGACAAGATGAAATATATTATTTTATTAAAAGATTTGACAAAAGGTCAACTCCTACTATTATTGATATTGATACATAAGCCTATATACTCCACAAGTAATAAAATAGAGAAGAACCGATGAAGCTTATACAAAAGAAAAGAAATAGAATATTTGCATGGCAATAGCAAAGTAGTTCAACTTCGATACGATTCTAACAAATATACCTCAAGATCCATATTATCATAGTATGATATTTTCAATTCAAAAAACTAGTACGGTGATCCAACCTCGAACATGACATGAGATACACGGTATTTACGTAATTGAGAAGATAATAGGATTAAAGGACTAGAGGTAGCGAGATGAGTATAGTTTAATACTAATATGTAATAGTTGGGCTAGACTCGAGCATCATTAACTTTCTTGTATTTGATAATAGAAGGATTATATTTCATAAGTCAATTAATGTATTTAATAAAAAAAAATAAACTAAACTGATAACTTAATAAACAGGAGATCGGGCCATAGTACATTATTTACATTATAATCGACTTAATATTTTATAACTTAATACGTAGCTTATACATTGATTCCTTTTACTTCTGTCATCGAACTCCACTATTTTGTCTAACAGTTTCCTCCATCAAACAAATCAATTTTGTTTGAATACTTAAATAGAAAATTCCAGTTGTCATTTTCTATTTATGCTTAATATTATTGTTTTGCCATGAATAATGAATGTAACATCAGCTCCATCTGCTGCATGCTGTGAAAGAGACTCTCTACCTCAATACTGAAAGATATCTCGATCACTTTCCTTCTTCCGTCTGTACAACTTCATAAAACCTAAGTGATCACCATTTTAATTACGTCCTCATTCTAACAATCTGCATTTAAACCCAAAGCGGAGTCGATGCTTCGGAATCACATCATGGCAAAAGCAGCATCACGTGAAATTTAAAGCATTGGCTTCGAGCTTCCGTCTTGCCAAATCACGTTTCGTTACGTGCACGCAAGCGTCAGCCTCTGGCCCCGTAGATTTACATGTTTGGTCCCTCTACTTACTGTTATTACATGGTAAAAGACAAATTAGTCCCTGTCGACGTAGCCACCCCGTTTGTTATCGTGCAAATTTTAGCAGACACTAATTTTGCAAAATAATTATAAATTTTGTAGATCTGAAATTAAAATTCATTATTATTCCTATAGCATTAGTAGACTTTTATTTTAATATTTGAATATAACATATTTATTTAGAAATTAAAAAAAGGATAATGTAATCAAGGGCTGAATTGTAATTTTACTTGGGCTTTATTTGGGATTCCAAGCTTTTATTTACCGGCCTCGCCAATTGCCGGCTGCTTCTCCTCACCGCTTCTCGCCATTTCTATCGGGAAGACCCATGGCTGCCGACGCCGACGCCGACGAACCGACCCCGACGGCCCCCGCGGCGGATCCCGACCTCGAGAAGGCCGCGCCGGGCGCCGCCGCTCACCCCTCCGCCCCAGCGGCCGACGAGGGCGGCACGGTGGTGAGGACGGTTTTGGCGAGGTGGAGGAGGGAGGACCTGTTGGAGAGGAGTATCCTGGTGCTCCGCGCCCTCGTGCTCTTTTTCTCCCTCCTCGCCGCCGTCATCGTGGCCTCCAACAAGCACGGCGACTGGAAGGACTTCGATCTCTACCAGGAGTACAGGTGCCGCTCCTGATCTGGCCCGTTTCGGGTCCGATCGGTGTATTGTTAGGGTTTTGAGTCGATTTGATTGTTCCTGAATTTTTTTCGTGGTTTCAGGTACTTGTTGGGTATCTCCTTGCTCGCGTTCTTGTACTCGATGGGTCAGCTATGGCGGCAGGCGCGCCGGTTCAGCACGGGGAAGGATTTGGTGCCGAGAAACTATTCAGGGATCGTTGATTTCGCCGGAGATCAGGTTGGTAGTTCTTTTTCTATTTGTCTCAAGATTTCAATTCTATTTGATGCCATTCGTTCTTTGGGATTAGGAAGTTTATCATCCCATTGCATCAGAAGAAAAGATTATACTGGAATTTCTCTCCTGCATCTTATTAAATACACCAACTATTGTCCACATTTATGTAATCGATTCAATGCCTTTCATAATCAAAAGGGGGAAAATAATCATCAAGCAATCATGAAATCAATGTGACTCATGTTTTATTTGGTTGGAACAGAGTATATGAATCGGTTGTAATATGTTTATCCTGCAAGACCTTTAGAATTCTGATTGGAAGTTTGAACTGATATATGTGAATCAGAGTATATGTGTTTTCTATTGAGGGAACGATATGATCAAGCTGATGGTACGAATAACAGAAGAGCTTTTCCTTCATGAATCACAAAGCAGGCCCACTGTCCTCCATATGTTATATTTCAGCGAAAAGCGACAACATCACTCTATAATGAGCTATCTTTTAAAGAAGAACCAAAACATCTCAAATAGGGATGGCTTTGAGCTCACTGTCATCTCCTTGTAACTCCAATTCTCCAGATATCCTTAATTCATTTCAATTTTTATCTTGAACTTCCCTAGCAAATGAACCTTAATCATTCTTATGGTGTGGAAAGAAGAATGAGTAGAAAGAATCTCAGAGTAAATGATTGAATGAATTATTTTGGAAGAAATATATGACTAAATTGTCAAAGAAATCGTGGAAGAGTATAAATTGGGATAGAGCAATTTAATTAAAAGCGGTTGATAACATTAGGAAGGTAAGGGCCATCCGTTTGATGGATCACCAAGGAAACCCACAGTACATTGTTTAACAATTCCCAGAAAATAATCCTCTTTTGAGAAAATACTTGGAAGGCCAAGTCTATTGCATCGGTGATAGATCTAGCAACTGGGGTTGTGCCGACCATAATTTATGACACCTGGGATGTATGCTAGCTCTATCCTTACTAGTTAAGCCGATAATCTTGGATGGTATACTTAATCCACCAAAGAATTTCTGCACGTGGGGATTAGGCTCATCAATCATAGGAATGAAAGCTTAATACCTACTATGCTAATCTGAATCTCATGAAAGCTTTGATACTTCTTATGAATCCTTAGAATCCAACATGAATGATAACTAACTTATGACAATTCGTTTGTCCACTAAATCATAGACAGTCCTCATTTTTGTACCGGGAATAGTAACTTTTGATATTAGATTTGAAATGGATTGTATGCTTTCCGGTGATAAGTGATTGTGATTTATGGCAGCTTTTCACCTTGGTAGTGTAATAAAATGACTACATGTAGCAGCACTGGTAAAGAATGATGGCTTTGTTGATTACATGACTTGAATGTGGTATCTGTTGTGTCTTAGTTTCTAATTTCATTTGACATGGGTACTACTATTGATAGATGCTACACTTTCTTTTATTGTAGAACTAGCCAGTTGTACAAGTAAATAAAACATGAGTCTTTCAAAGGTTTTGCTGTAACTTAGTGTCACTAAAAAATTCCAGAGAATTTAATAGATTGATAGAAAGATTTGAAAGGGGAAAGTGTAAATTACGAGGGTATAGTTTTTGCTGTAAAATCCTACAAGCATCATGACAAACACTAGCTAGTATATATTTCATCTTGTTGATTTTCTTGTATTTGGTGTTTTGGTATCTAAAGTGTTTCTGTTTTAACAGGTGACGGCTTACCTGTTGATATCGGCACTGTCTGCAGCCATTCCCCTTACTAATCGCATGAGAGAAGGGTCAGATAACATTTTCACAGATTCTTCGTGTGCTTCGATCAGCATGGCCTTCTTCGCCTTTGTATCGAGTGCATTATCTGCTTTGATATCCGGGTTCAAGCTTTCTAAGCAAACTTACATATGAACATACCCTCTTGATGTGAATACCCCTCTATGCTTGTGTTGTATGTTCCTCTTAGAATGCCATACTCAGTATATTGCTTCATTCTGGTGCCACCTCAATGTTCCTTGAAGATTGTTTGTTTGAGTGTAACAATTGGGGAGGGACCATTCTTTTTATTTGTTTGTTGATGATGTTCATTATTTGTAATATTTGTATTTATATTGCAATATTCAGCATGTACTTCTTCAATTTTCATTCATGACTTGGACGATTTTTTCATTTCTAATTTCTTATGTTGATTTATATTTTAAAACTACGAGGGAGAATAACTTGAAAAGGATCGATGCATGCCAAGAGATTTTAACGAGAGCATACCGACCATTTTTTGATGTGTAAGCGGTCGCCAACCGTAGATCATGCGGGGTCCATCAAATAGACGGTGCAGATAATTCGAAATCGAAGCAATCAGACGTCTTGTCTACCATATTCCTCTTCTCTAAGGGCGATTCGAACCTTAGGAATTATAGGGTTCGTCGGAGCCGGATGTCGTCTCTCCCCCGCCGCATCTCCTCAATTCCTGGTCTTCTCCTCCCTATACACGGTAAACCCTCCAAAACTCGAATCTGCTTTAGAATCGGATTCGATCAACCTTTTCTGATCGAATTTTTATCGCCAGATGAGAAGCTCCACGGGTCTTCCCTCTTTCCTTCTTCGACTGGGCAGTTCAACAGTCAAAAGGCGACATCTTGCGTTGAATGAAACATGGAGTCGAAGACCCTTGGCTGAAGAAACCTTCAATTTTCCAGAAGAACGCGACCTCCAAATCAAGTAATTCGGTTTTCTTGAAGAAAGCCAAGTAATTGTTGCGACCCAAATTGTTCTCAAGTTAGAAGTGGTGGATGCAATTGATGAGCATCTTGCTTCCGCGTGCTTATGTGTTGGAGCCTTCCCATCAGTGTTCTTGTTCTTGTAGGCGTTTGGTAGAACTGGAACAGTGCTCAATATCTCAGAAGAGATGCAAGACGATTCCAAGGCTTCGGCTAAGCAAGTCTCTTCATCGAGAAATCACTGTGGAAAGGCTTTTGTTTTAGAAAAGCCATCCACAGTAAACTACACCGCAAAATGTTGGACTACTTCCTCAACGACGAACACACGTCTCAGTGATAATTGACATGCTAATGGTTGGCATTTCCACCCCCTTGATGATACGATGAGGACTACAATGATGGTAAGTAGACTGTACATTTTATGTTCATCGTAATGTGAATAAGCTGTCGAGTACTTGCTCACAATTTGGAATGCTCGACATGATAGCGTTTACAAACTATTCTTGTGATAAATGAATATTACCTGTTGTAGTTTAAGAAGCATTGTACATACATGAGAGAACAATTCATAAGCTTTTACATGCATGATAACTTCTATAAATGTGTATGTTTGCAACATAAACAATCAGAGCACAGATGCCTTATGTTCATGTCGCTACAAGAAAGTCTCAGCAGAAAAGTAGACTTTGTATTGCATGTGATTTACTATGAATTTTTTGCCTAACCTGCAGCACATAAATGTGTGTCCGAGTACTGACCTGTTCATTTAAGTATATGATTAACATTATTAACAACTGAAGAAGGTGCAATAACAATGATCAGTAAATAATTCAACAACCATTCTATAGCATTCATTCCACAAATTACATAGGTAACGATACGATGTCAAAAAAGAACTCAAGATATCCTGTAATGTATGGCAACTTTGCACATATCTTGTGTCATTTTCAGGAGAATTTCCTATCTTTGTATGCCAGAAAGCAGAGGAGGTCTCATTGCATCTTCTTCTACCATGTGTGCATGCATTTCTGAAGCAAAAGCAGGATTTGATTTGAACATAGCAGTTCCAGCTTCGCGAGGCAAAGGGGAGAGAGAAGGTTGAATGGCATTACTCAGTTCCTTCACATAAAATTTATCTTCCTCGACAACATAGTAGTCTGCTGTTCTTACCTCCTGAGCAAGAGAACAAGAGCAGCAACATAGCCACTGAAAACAATCTGTCACGGACGGCTCGCCGCAGCAGAAAGTATTCGGAGGGAGGTTAAATTTCTTTCTCATCTGGATCCTCCAAAAGCCTCCATATAACAAACCAAAGATGCAGAGTAAGAAGCCTGTGATTCCCAGAGCTTCGCGAACAGTCTCATTATCGATATTGACGGCGGCCAAGTTGAAAATGAAGAAAGGAGCTACACAAAACAGAAGGAAAGTTGCAACATGAACATACATGTTACCAAATCCTAGCCTGTCCATGTTCCATCCGAAGACACAGCAGCTGCAGAAAACTGAGAGGTATGCTAGAGAGATATCGTCCCAGAAATCGAATAGCCCACCCACCCATCGGGGGCTAGTTTCTGCCGTCCTGGGGTCTTCTCTATCCACGAAAGAGTATCTTTTTTGAGCACGCCTTTGATCGACAGAAGAGCTGATACTACCTTGTGACTCCTCATCTATCTCGGTGTACTCCTTTCCGAGAGGGCTAACAATGTTATACAAACTGGCAATAGCTGGTGCACCAATTGCCACGGAGATGCATATCCCTACTCCGATCGCTGGACGTTCGGATCGAGGGTATCCCCAGTTCAGACCACACAAGGCATACTGAGCAAAACAATTCACATGAAGAAGAACCACTACAACCAGCATGTGCATCCACTCGTTAGGCTTTCGGGTTCCATTTTTGCAGTATATGTTCCTGAGCCTCACAATGTCCTCCTGTCTCCATCGGCACAGAAGCACAAGGTGATGGAACCGTTTTGGATGCTGATAGAGGCACATAAGCGTAAACAAGGCATTGAGAATTTGGTTGTTCACTTCAAACCAGGTGTCTCTCTGAGATTTTCTTGGCAAAGCACCATTCAGCATGCCAGTCATGACGAGGAACAGAATCGATCCAGAGATTACCACACAAGTCATCCAAAGGAGCAGAGCCATGTTCGTTGGCTCCTTGATCCATGTCTTAAAGAGCTCGACCAAAGAAGCCCAGTTGATCTTCTTGACAAAAGGAAGACGAAAACTTGTAGAGGAACTCTGATCACCATGCGAAGGGAAGGAATGCGGAATATCGACATCGATACTCTCCTCTGCTTCATGTCCATGCTTTGAAGAAGATGAAGACAACCGAGTAGAAGATTCAACTTTCGCAAAGCTGGATCTACCAGGGAAGGTCTTCAGCATAGCCAGAAATTTATTCTGTCTCTTCTTGTCCAAAAGAGTCCTTCTAGATGTACTAATCTCTAGCATAATCTGATCCGTAGGTGATTCAGTTTCTTCTTCAATTTCTCTTGTACCTTTGCCATTACTCATTGAAATCATTCTCTTTCTTAGCTGCTGATTTCTGCTGTTGATGTGATAATCTCTCAAGATTACTATCCGCAGGAATCAATCAATCTTTCTTCTACCAAAGTCAGCAAGACATTCAAGATAAAAGCAGCTGAAGTTTTATCCTACAGACATCCAAATTAGCCATTCATTACCTGAATAGTCTGCAGAAGATTGTTCATAAATCCGTAAAAACAACGTTATATCACACCATGATCGCAGCAATCTATTTTCAGTGGTTTACAAGAATGTAAGACTAACTGCAACAAGTTATCATCATAACAAGGCGAAGAAAGCATAAGATGCTGTCCTGTACCCAATAACCAAGCAAGCATCATACACGAGAGAGAGAGAGAGAGAGAGAGAGAGAGAGAGAGAGAGAGAGAGAGAGAGAAGGAATCATACAGTGGAGAAGAAGCTGTCCGTCCACCAAAATCGTGCATAACATAAAACATCTCCTCCTGAGGCAAAGCAACGAAGGAACTCAGATGACGAAGAAACATCGATGCACGCCAATATGGTCTGAAACAGTCAAAGAAAACACACGGTTCGAATTGGAGACTAAGCATTCGACGAGCAAGCCGTTGACGGAAGCTTCGCCACTCTTCGCCTACCGGGAAGAAGGTGGGTGGAAACGGATAGGAGACGGCGAGAAGACCACCCACGGCAGGCATGGCAACGTGTGGACCGAGGCAGGACGGCGTTAGGGTGACGTAGGAATTGTGGCTCGGTCAAAAGGTTGGAGCCACGTGTCGCCAGGAAATGGAACTTCTGGAGAGTGCTTTTGACCGCCATGTTGCTTCTTCCGGCATCAAACTACGTATGTATACTCGTCGAAGTTTAGATTCTTCCTTCCTGCAATGATTACTAGCAGACAGCTTTAAAGATTCTTCGATGGAGTTGCATATCTCTTTCGCAGCTTTGCAGCATTCGATTCAGAAATATGTGAATGTGTGGTCGTGAAACTTTATTGGAATGATGATGCAGTCGGTCCCTGAAGCATCCCAGTTAATTTAATTCAATCGAATTAAATTAAATTAATAATTTAATTTTAAAGACTATAAAATGATTCTGATTTAAAGGTTCCATCCTTTGATTCAGTTAATAGATTCAAATCTAATTGAATAAATTTTAATTTAAAAGATATTAATTCGATTGAATTCACTTCTACGAGTATTTAATCAGTTCGAATTATATAAATTATATGGGTTTAATTTTATAAATATTTTTTAGTTATGAATTAATTAATCAATAAGTGAACTAGATTAATCAATTTTGAATCGATTTGATTAGATAAATCCGTATCAATTTGGGTTCAAACTATCTTACTTTAATTGAATCAAATCGAAAAAATAATTTGATTTGGTTTAACCGGTTCTATTCGTATTCCTATCATCAAATATACAAATTTGACGAAGTACAAATTAAAATTTACTATGAACACAAATCAATGGTGTTTAATAGGAACTTCTATTAAAAATTTTTGATGATTAAAACTGCGTTTGTATGATAAAAACGATTTCGACGTAAAAGTAGTTTTATGAAGATAATAACTTTGAAAGCTTACGGAAATATATTTGAAGTAAAGTTAGGAAGACAGTTTGTAGTTAAGATAAATAACACAAATGAAATGCAAACCAGTATTTTAGAGTGGTTCGGTCAAACGTGACCTACATCCACTTTCGGCTTCCTCTTCCGACGAGGTCACTGGCGTTTACTAGAGGCTTTCCTTCAATAAGCGAAGGCCAACCATCCTTTTACAGTTTCAATCCTTTTGACGGGCTTAGGAGACAACCCTTATAGAATTTTCACTCCTCTCTTGAATGATCGAAACTTGGAAGAAAAGAGGGAGGAGAACTTTTAGCGTATACAACACTTTTGAGCTCTAAAAATCATAGAGTAAGATTAGATTTTCGGTGCCCTTTCATGCAAGAAAGGGTGGGGTTTATAGAGGTCCTAACTGATTTGAATTTGGAGCTCAAATGTGTCATCTCCCGGATTTCTGAGGTCCTGGTGGTACTACCACCATAACTGGGCGGTACTACCGCTCGGAGACCGAGCTCAAGCGGTACCACTGCCTGACAGGGGCAGTACCACCACCCAGTCTCGCGCGGAGACTGAGCCCAGGTGGTACCACCGCCTGACCTGGGCGGTTGCATCGCCCAACTTTCCTAGGAGACTGAGCTCCTGGGTGGTGCCACCGTCGACCCAAGCAGTGCTACCGCCGGCCAGGAAATCTAGGTCTGAATGGGCTAATCCATTCAACCCAATTTGGATCTGTCAAGGGCCCAATTGCCCCCATATTAAGTTAATGGGATCACCTCTCATTCCTAACTTAATCTACATGCTAATTACGATATTTCTTAAGATATTTACTGCAACATGCTCCGGTGCGTCAATCGCTTCTTCCGGCGAGCTTCCGACGAACATCCGACGAACCTTCGGCGATGCTCCTACGGACTTCTGGCAAACTCATGGATTTGTGACGATCCACTTGGCGAGTTCCGACGAGCTTCTTTGGTAAGCTCTTGGACTTCTCGGATTTGTTCCCGTAGAACCTCCGACGACCGTCCGGACTTTAGTTGAACTCTCGAACCCCCAACGTGATCATAGTCTTGACTCCAGCACAACTCCTGCTGCATGTCTTACTTCCATCGTAATTAATCCTGCATATGTAAAACAAACTTCGATCTAGACAATTAATACTAAGTATTAATCAAGTTGTCGGGCATGTCATTGGTCCCTCGACATTTCGTTCGATTCTTCGATGTATCGTCCTCTCCTGCGGCCTATTGCCCAATTGGCCAGTTGACTCCGCAACTCTGATATCCTTGACGCAATACCTGCTCTTCTTGGCCCGATGCCCGAATCCACGACCCGAAGCCTTCTGTCGATACGTCGATCAATCCACCGGCCCGACGTCTAATCTTCTGACATGTTCCTCCGGCCCAACATGATTTTTCCTTCTTTAATTGTCTCATCCTGATCGAAGCATCCTACGTCACTCAAAATACAGATTAAAACATAAACACAATTATCAATTGGTTTCATCATCAAAATACGAGATTCAACCCTTCATACTTTACAAATGGCTCCAATAATTTGATTGATATCTTCAACATCTGCACACTGATTAGGAAGTGATGGGATATTAGAAATCCTAATATATGCCAGATAGGTGATAGATAGCTTGATGAAGACTTTCCTAGAAAATTAGGTTTGATATGTGTTCCTCAAATTGTTGAAGATATATAAAAAAAATGCCTTATCATGCACACAAACAAATTGTTTCAATTCATCCCTTAGAAGCTTAATCCTTGGAGTTGCTTCAATTCTTACACAGGCTAAAGTTCAAGTGATTCTTCATTGTCTAATACATGACAGAAATGTTGGAACTCCAAACTGTTTTAGCACTCTCTGCAATCGAATGCAGTTCACCTTACAACATAAACAAGGCATTCAAATCAATGAAGTGACCTTAATACAATGAGTGGAAAGCAGAACCCATCACCTCTGATGCCCAATCAATGACATTGAATTCTTTATCCTGGGGATTAAATATGCTTGTTTAATTGCATTTGGCTAAAATTCCATGACACAGGACTGACTTGGGAAACAAGTCAATGCATTGACCCATCATTCATCTCTTCCCAGCTGTCCCAAAATTTAATGAAAAGATAGTCCTCTGTGTTGGTTCAATGCATATCCCACACAAACTCTGGCAATTCTTCATCATCCTTCATATCCCAACTTTTGGCACTCTTTTTTATGAGATCACACCTCCACCAAATACTGATAAAAGGAAGAAAAAGGAACATATTATCATTAAAAGAAATAAAAAAAAGAGTGTTGATGTGTGATAGGTAGAACCCTGTTTGCAGCAGGTGTATTCCAAATAGTCAATCTTCTTTCATCTTTACTCTAATTCCAACATTTGTTTTGATATTTCCTCAATTTCATGCCTCCAAGTTCTTTTATGGACAGCTTAACCTGAAGTACTCAACTTTGTATAGTACAATCATCATTGACTAGGAACCTTAACTTGATGCCATGTCCTCTGTGGACTTGCACTTCCCAAGTTTCAGTGCCAGCTGAAGAGAAGACACGAGGATGTCTCAGCAAAAGATTGTTAGTACTTGCAAGTAAAAGAAGTTGAAATCTGAGAAGATGGGCCTCATTAAATTAGCTTGTACTGTGTGTGTGTGTGTGTGTGTGTGAGAGATAGAGAGAGAGAGAGAGTCCTGAACATCTATCAAAGAATTAAACACTGAGTTGGAAGCTAATTGCTCCTTTCCTCTGTTGATGCTTCTGAGATTATAGTTCTGAGTGTCTTCTCCTTGTCACTTTGTTCTTTCAGCATTCACAGTAACAGATAGGCTATGATCTCACTGCACTACCTTAGACTTCACAATTTGCCATGCAACAAGAGTAAGTAGGAGGTGTGGTGATAGTCTGATAGAGACAGGAAGGAAGAGGAGGAGGAGGAGGAGCATGAGCGATGCGAACACGAACTATTAGTCCAAGATTATTCTGAGAGATTGGACAAACACTTCGTCACTGTCTGTTGCACCTCGCCATTACCGACGTTGCACCACAAGCTCTGTAATTAGCAGAGACCACAAGTTGTTTGGTCTCAGTCCTCTAAGCGCAACGCCGCATCCCGAAGCACAAGGTTGACGCAGGCGACCCGTCGTCGAACTCCTCCGACGCGAAGTACGACGCCGGGCTGGAGGAGCTTCCGCGGCGGTCGGAGCGCCCAAATGCCGACGAGGAAGAGGATGACACGGAGGAGGAAGACAAGGACGACAGAGGCGAGGTGTGGATCTTCCGCAGGGTGAGCTTGGGGAGAATGGTGCGGAGGAAGCTGGACTTGGAGGCCTTCATGGAGATACTGTTCCTGGTGCTGTAGTAGTAGGACGGGGGAGGGGTAAGGGGAGGGAGGGCGGCGGCGGAGCTCATGTGCTTGGGTGTTCCCGGTTGAGACTCCCACAGGAATGGGACGGTCCCAGAAGCCACTGCATAGTAGACTCGAAAGGAAGGGTTGGCCTCTGAGCTCTCCTTGGAGAGAAGCCTGCTGTAGAACTCATCACCCTGCTTGATTTGGAGGGAGTCTTTGGCCAGACCTGAGTTCCTTGGAAGCATCTTTGGCTCAGAGAGAGAGAGAGAGAGAGAGCTTGCAAGGCAGCAGTCCCTCATACAGAGGCGCATGTAAAGGATTTATGGTGTTTCTGAATGCATGCTAGAGAGAGAAAATGAACCTCTCATCCAACAATAATTCATCTTCCAAATGGCCTACTAGCTATTAGTCAATACACTAAAGATCAAAGTAGGTCTGGAGAATCCTCTTATCTACTTCACTGTTCATGTACTATAAGAAAGGACAAGAACTACATCACATCTATAGATCAAAGGAATGGATGAGTAAGTAGTGTGAAATATAACACACATCATTATTACTTTTCTTGGAACCATAAATCATAAAGACACACACAGGAGTTTGAGGACGTGGTATGCATGTGATAGGAGTAATATGGAATTCTCTCTCTAAGAGTTGAAATTTGAGGAGAAAAATCTATAACAAATTCTTTAAAAAATCAAAAAGTTTTTTATTTTTATTTTTTATTTGCATAGACTCTCTTTTTTATATTATTTTATTTTTAAAATTTTTTTAAATAAATTATTTTTGTCTCTGTAAAAGTAGTCACAATAGATAAGAATAAAATAAAGATAATCTTATTTTTTAATAAAAAAAACTATATAATAATAAAATAATAAAAAAGAAATGTTTTGTGGGAAAAAAAAAGTGAGAACTTTAGAGATTTTTTAAAAATTATTTAAATATTAAAAAAAAAAGCTTATTCATTAATTGTCACAGTTTCATAAAACTCTAGAAATACTTCATGTCAGGGATCATTTATTAGGTGATGATAGGCACAATTGAAGAAACTTGGTGATAGTTTCTTGGAGTAAGAGTACCGCATCCCAAGATTCCAAAGTCTCTTTCAGTAGCACCACACTTTTCAACCTTAGTTCGATGATACATATTTGAACAGTAGTAGTTTCAATCAAGTATGACGATGAAATAGAACAAACATATGAAGCATTAATTGGGGAGGAAAGGGATGCATTTGTTTGGACTTAGACTATTGCTTTCAACCATAGGACCAAAATGTGACATTAATTGCTTATTTAAACGCTAAGGAAGAAGAAAGATTGATCAGACCTAATCTAATTGACAAAGTGGAAGAATCTCTCCTAGTCAATGTTTGAGGACTTTGCTATTGAGTTATGTGTGATCATTATGTTTTTCTTTCTCATTTTTCTAATTTGATATGAACTTGATTTTAAGAGATCGAGTAAATTCCACCTAACAATTTGATTGTGAGATAGAGAAGACATCATATGAACATTCAAATATGATGTTGATGCCAACACAACACCAAGTCGGATGTGTAGTTAATTGGGATCCATTATTAGCATAACATCAATTATAATATAGTCGTACGGGATTAATTAACTACGGTTGGTTTCTCGAGCGGTCGATTTAAGCTTCTGTGTGAGCGTCGATCGACTTGCACAGATCGAGGTCATATGGCGTCACCTCGAGCTTTCTGAGATGATTGTACCATGATGATGTCGTTCGTACAGAGGGGGCGACAAGTAACTGCCCGCCATGTGTGTGCTACGCGACCACATTGTACTTGAGGTTCTACGTCTGTTTGTCTGATCCACATGGGCGATACCAAAACATATCCTATCAAATTTGATACCATTTTCTTGATGATACCAAGCCGTTGACACATTTGTGACCGTTACAAGTGTCTTGATGACACCCAACGGTCCAACTTGGAACCATGGCCCACCCAACATAGTTCGTGGCGAAACCGCAATCTTGGTCTTAAACTAAGGGCATTTTAGTCTATTCGTTTTCTTACACACCCCAACGGTCTTCTCCGCATCGAGATTCGCCAAAGCCAACGGCCAAACCAGGAGGCATGTTTATAAACACACCCCATCATTTCCCCACCAACTCACCCTTCAATTTCATGTATTGTGATCACAACGAGGCGTGGATATAAAAGAGCAGCGTGAATATATCGTCTTCTTCGGCTACTTAAGGGCACTTCGGTAACCTCGCCTTCCTCCTTAGTGCCTCCACTTCCCCCCTTTCCCCTCTATCGGACGCGCCTTCGAGTGCTTTCTTCGCTGGCATTTAGGGTTTCGATTCACCGCAAAACCCTAAAAGTTCCTCACTGAATCGTCGAACGCTGGGCGGAGGAAGAGGAGGGATGGAGGAGGATTCCATGGTTCCGGTGGCGGAAACCCTGGCCCCGCCGACGGATGACCCGAAGGTGACTGTTGCGGCAGCGGCTGGGAGGGCGGAGATCGACACGTCGGCGCCGTTCGTGTCGGTGAGGGAGGCTGTGGATCGATTTGGTGGGAGCGCCGTCTGGAAGTCGCAGCTCAGGCAACTCTTTCACCCCGACGTAAGTCCCCTTTTGGGTTTGGATATTCTTTATTTGTTCTTGATCTTTATTTCCGAATCTTTTCGTACTTGCTTTACTAATCTGACCTTCAAGTTGTTATTTTTCTGACTTCTTTGGTTACACCTTTCTTCTCCGTGTAAAACAATTGCTTCTTTTTCGTCTTTGCTGTCCGTTTAGAGTTATAATACCAATTGATGCATGTCTTATGACTTGTGTTGAGAATCGCTTACCAAATTAGATATATTTGTTCTGTAATTCTTAAGTTGCACGTGTAATCTGTAAGCAAAATTGTCGATTTTCCAAAGTTAGAACTAATATTAATAGACTAACAGTGACTCGTCCACATTTCAAGTTGTCTGCATTTGAACAACAACATAAGTAACTTTTTTTTCCAAATAAGAATTAATTTATTTATACTTATCTCGAATTCTATCAAGGGTAATGTCACAAAAAATTTCTTACTTGCAATATTTTAAATACTGGTCCGATATAAAACTTAGGAAGGAGTCAGCAAGGTGTTTTGGAGTATTGGACTGATTACTATGTTCATCCTTATCATTTGTGTCTGATCTGGGAAACAATTTATTGGATCTATGGTTGCAATTAAAGTTTTACTGAACACTGGCTCTAAGATGGTAATTTCTCCACGTTTGTTAAGTTTCTCAAAATCATTGAGTTTCATGTATTGTCTTTGTTCTAATGCCTTCCAGTTATTGGATTTGTCATGGGCAATGCTCAATGTCTACAACAGCTATTGGATTTTATCCTCTAGATCAACACCATCCTTGTGTTGGGTAAATGTATGAGTGTATTATGTTTCCTCTCTTTTTGTTCATTTGTTCTTATGTATATACTCCCATCTAAACTTTATTCTGTTTTCTTTTCCTTTGTGAACACTTTATTTTTGTCTTCTTTTTTATGAACTTTAATTTTCCTTCCCAGTTATCTATTTGAAATTCAAATTCATGCACACAATTGGCCGAAATTTTCTTAAAAAGCGTGCAACACTATAGGAGACCTTGTTGAGTTAATTCTTCACCACTTAGTCCTATTTCATACTTATATCATCTCTTGATGAACATGCATCTTGAATGAGTGCTATTTTATTTTCAATTTTCAGTCAGACACTTGAACAAATGTAGCTTGTTCTTTGTGCCATACCGTTCTGAATAATCTATTCCTAAGTCGTGTTATCCACATTTTCCATCAGAAACTCCATTTCTCTGAAGATGTTGAGGTTATCAAAGTGGAGGAACAGGCGGCACAACTAGAAAAGGATCTTATCCTAAAAGAAAAAGAGACACTTGATGTTTTAAAAGAGCTAGAAATGACAAAAAAGATTGTCGATGGTTTAAAGTTGAGATTACAGAAAGAAACCTCAGAAACCAATATGATTCCAGCTACAAATTCAGATGGTATAAAGTTACATCCTGTTCCTGAAGTTGAAGAACATGGTCCCCATGACCCCGAGAAGAATGTGGGTATAGATGACCCAAGCATGGGGGTGAACCAGTCTCCAGGGCAGATGCTTGTTGAACTGAAGCAGGCCAAGGCAAATTTGAACAGGACAACAAGTGACTTAGCTGGTATTCGAACTTCCATTAAAATGCTGAGCATAAAAATAGAAGAGGAAAAACTCTTGCTTGAGGAAACCCAGGAGAAGCTGAGCTCCAATAATGCTCTGATCTCATCACTGGAGGATGATCTTAATCAGACAACAGAAAAATTGCAAAGGGCCAAAGGTTCGGTAAATGAGAAACCTGAAGATCCCTCAAATATTTTGCAGGAAATTAACCAAATGAACTCTGAATTAGAACAGTCAAGGAGGACAACTGAAGCTACTAAGTTTGACGTTACTAAGCTGGCCTCTGAACTTGAGCAGACAAAGGCAAGCATTAAGACGGCTGACATTCGATGGCTCGCAGCTAAGAAGATGGAAGAAGCAGCCAAAGCAGCAGAAGCTGTGGCTCTTGCTGACATCAAAGCTTTAATAAGCAGCAACGATTCAATCTTGGGTCTTCAGAGTGCATGTGGTGTAACCCTTTCGATGGAGGAATACATCACCTTAGCAAGCAAAGCTCAAGAAGCGGACCAAGTTGCAAGAAAGAAAGTTGAAGCTGCTGTGGTTCAAGTAGATGAAGCAAACATGTCTAAATCAGAGTTACTTATGAGGGTTGAGGAAGCAAATTCTGAGGCAAAAAAATGTAAGAAGGCTCTTGAAGATGCCTTGAAGAGAGTGGAGGTCGCAACCAGAGCGAAGCTTGAAGTTGAAGATTCTCTACAGAGATGGAGATCCGAGCATGGTCAGAAGAGGCACAGCATTCATAACTCTACCAAATTCAAGAACTATGCAGCTCACCACAGGAAGGACTCCCGCGTTCTGAATGACTCAACTTTGGTCACTGACATGCCAAGCAGCGGTTCAAGGCAACCGTTGTCGATCGGGCAGATACTGAGCATGAAGCTGATGGGTCCTGGTTCTCCTGAAGAGTATGAGAGGGGAGCATGGGAGAAAGAAAATAAAAACCCCACAGTTTCACTGGGTCAGATGCTGAACAAAAGGCACGGGGTTCTGCCTTCCCCCATGACCGACAACGTGTCGCTCCACAAGCAGTTTTCTGCCAAGAGGAAGAAGATAGGCTTTGTTGGCTTCCCACTTCTCTTGGCCAAGCAAAGCAAGAAGAACAAGAAAAAGAGGCAGTCATTGAGTACAAGATAACTGTTGTTGGAATGCCTGTTTTCTCATGAACTCTGTTCGTTGTGATGTAATGTGTTCGAACTATCATTTTACTCTGATGTATATAGTATTGAAGCTACGTTTTCGTTCAATTAGACACGAAATGCATGGTGGTTTCTAAATTTTACTATCACTGTATAACGTTTGCAGGAAAGATGTATTCAGTTCATGTGGTACGGTGTGGTGTGTATTAAATTTGGATCATTATCTTAAGTAATCAATGAATAACTAACGTCGATGCGTCCGACCGAGCGGTCGGGGAGACCTTCAAATATGTTGGTCTCCGCCCGCGCGGGTTCTCTAACCCTTGTGTCCACGTTGTTTGTATTATGCTTATATGTCTGTTTTCGCAACCGTTCATCAACTTCTCCGCCTCACCTACCTTATTTGTGATCGGAGACATATGTGGAGCCCATGGTGGGGCCTCAGCTGTCTCCAATCAAGCGGCAGGGTAGGGAACGAGGGTAGTTCATAACAGCTTTTATTGTTTATCTAACTAATGTATCCACGACACCGACTAGATAACCCATGCCGAGGTGGCCTTTTTGGGTCCATGACTAGTGGCAATCGTAGTGGAGGTAGAAAGACTGGTGACGATTCACAAGTTGGAAAAGCTTTTCCTAAATATGATTGTGCATCGTGGGTAGTCGAGGCGGTTAGGTCACGGACACGTTCGTTCTTAAGTTAATTCACGTGACCACGTATCAACGATACGGCCATTCTTCCCCAGAACTACGTCCACTTCGCAATCTCACCTACCTGTCTCGTTGTCTTTTCGTGGGACCGTGACATCTTCCAGTTATAGTGCAGGTATACTTAAAGGGAAGAGAATTATTTTCGCAATATAATTGCGCAGTGACACCGTTTCTCTCGGCTCCGTGTTCTCCGTTAGCAAGCTAACCCAAAGGCCACCGAGCACAAGAAAAACGAGGGAGAGAGGTAGAGCGAGCGGAATTGGTATTGGCTAATGGAGTCCTCTCGACTCCTTCTTCCGTCGTATCACTTCGGTCTCATGTCTGATGCTATTCATAAAGCAGAGAAGTCAAATAATCATCCTCAGCCTCTTCCTCTTCATCCATTTCATCCCAAAATAAGATAATCTTTAGGTAATCTCTCTCCTCTCTCTTTGATAAATCTGTTTTTTATCTCCCGATCTGGTTCTTAATATCTTTCGATTGTATCTGAAATATACGAATATGAAAATCGATTTATGCTACCTATCGAGTTTAGGTTTCTTGAAGCTCCAATATCCGCCTCCAACTACCATGTGTTGCTCGGAATTTGAGATCAGTCGGGGCCCGGAAGATATTTGATCTTGTTTCTTAGGAGAATAAATCGTTAGATATAACGGAGCTACCGATTAATTTCTATTGATCTTTTCTTTGAAGGGGCAAGTGGTAACGCAGATACCTCTGCTGCTCAGGGGTTTTTCTTGGAGATCGTTTTGAGACTATCAAACCGAGTAATTTGATATAGGAAGCTATTTAGGATATTTGGAAGTTCGGTTCAACATAGAGGGACTTTGTATTGATTGTTCATGAGAAGCTCTGCATGTGATGGTCTGTGAATCTATACCACAAATTCCTGAATCCAGTTGTTATATGAATCTTCTTCTTTCTGTATTGTCTTGTCCACCAGTCTATAGTCATATAGAAGTGAAGATTTAGAAGGAAATGAAGGGTCCATCCATTTATCTTCCTTCTCTAAATTTGTAAGGATATGAGAGTCATGTTTGGTTACCGATCAAAGAGTTAAAACTCACAGAGATCTAATTGATGAAGCAGTAATCGATATAGGATGATAACATAGCACTGTTTGATGAATTCTCTTATAACATTTTTTCCTCAAGACAATCTATATCTCGCTTATCGGAACAGCTGCATCAGTTGCACATATTTTTGACCGTGAACTTGCAGATGATAATATGAGTCTATCATTGAGCCTTTCATACTAGGTTAAAATGTAATGTTTTTTTCCTATATGACTTGTAAATCTGGATAGATTTTAATTACAAGCATCATATCGATTTCTTTTTTCTTTTTTAGATATATCTAATTAGTTCAGTGTCTGACAATTATTCATGGTTTTTCTTCTTTTAATCTGTTTCTTTTAAAACGTGTAGCCATGTTCTTATCAAATAGTTTATTGAAAAAGTCACAGTAAAGGAAGAATATGTCAGTGATCCTTTATGAATGATTTTGATATATGCCTGTGGCAGGTAGGCACATAGATGATATACTTTGCTGAATGGTCGAATACCAACAAGTAACCGCTTTTTTTCCTTATGGAACAGGTAACTATGGATTCAAGACTGAACTTTTTACTACTTGTGCTGGTAATCAGCTTTGTCTCTACAAATGCCAGGAGTTTGGTCACCTTAGATGACTTTGGTAAGTTGTTAATAGTTTATCTACGTGAACTTGAAAAGTACAATATTTGTACATTAAGGGACCCTTTTTAGTTGGCTGTCTTCTTCTTTAAGGTGCCCCTTATCTGTTAATTTTCTGGTTCATTCTTTCAAGTAATTTAGCTAACCGTTATGGCTAGTAAATTTTCACTATATTATAGAACACAGTATAAGGATATATATAAGATCTAAGCTTATGTGGTTTCATTAACCTGACTTGTGGTAACTTCTTTGTTCACTTAATTCTTATAATCAGTGAGATATTACATGTGGGTTATTGCAATTGTTTACTATGGTGCACAATCTCCAAGTAGATTTGATGACTAGTTGATTCAATAAGGATTACATTAATTGTGTCTATGAGTAATAAAAAAATTACATAAAAGAATATGCCCTACCTTTTGCAACTAACGTGTAAATTCATGTCAGTTACAAGTTGTATTAGATAAGTACTTTAAACAAGATAAGATCTTTAAATCATTCAAATTTATAGTTTTATGTATATTCTATGTGCTTCTTGATAGGAGTGTAGATCTACTGAATAATAAGTTAGAAGTTATAAAACATATTACATATATGATGTAACAATTTTCTAATTATTTAGATCTTTTACGTGGGTCTTTTCTCACCACTAGTTGTTGCATTGTTTGACAATCTTCTATGGGCTTGTACCAGAGATTAAATTAGCATTCTAATAATTGTTAAATACTCCAAGATGTAGTCAGTCTTTGTTGTGCCAAACAAAATCTCTTTGTGTACACCTGCAAACTATCATACTCCAAGATGTGGTCAGTCTTTGTTGTGCCAAGCAAAATCTCTGTGTACACCTGCAAACTATCATACATCTTATATCTTAATTCATCAGTATTCTATTCTCTGTTAATTCATCAGTATTCTATCATCCTTAATTCATCAGTATTCTATTCTCTGTTAAGTTTTAATATTTCTGTTGTTGCGTCACCAGCTATATCTAAAAGATATACATGACTTTTAAATTATCCCGAAAGACCTTTTGGTACACATTTATTGGACTAATGACGATATTGTGGTATATGCATTAATATCTCAAAAGTTCGATGTTCATATCTTCATAATTTTTTGATTCCACAATTTATTCCAGAATTATGATGTAGTTTTTATCTTCCCTTCCATTTCTTTAAAAACGTAATAATATATCACTAGTCTCTGTCATTCTATCAAATTATTTGATCATAATTTTTGCATGTTATCCTTCTACTGAGAAGCGAGTCATTTAGTTATAATTTTATCATTCTTATTCATATTAAAAACTTTGATAATTCATCGTAAGATTTCGAACTCAATCCCATCTTCACCATCTACCTTTTACAAAAATGAAAAAAAAATCTTCTACATATTAAATCAGTAATTTTAAAAGATTTTAACTAATTTAGTTTACTTGGGCAGTATAATTTATTTATGTAATCCATATCATTTGAAGTGGATCGGATAAGATCAGTCCAAATCCACTTCCTACCGGATGGAGGTGGAAATGCTTATGTAAGAGTATGTCCCTCATTCAATTTATTCATATATGAGTATCCTAGACCCTAATATATCTCAATCATGTAAATTCTCAATACTACTAGAAGGAAAAATGTCATTTCATTACTTTTTCTACATTCAAATTTTCTAGTTCTTCCTTAATTCCCCATTATCCACAAATAAGATTCATGGGTTCAACATATTTTCTTAATTATTTTCACTTATATATTTGATTCATTTAGTATGCACTTCTTCCCTTTAAATCTCTGTATATCCGTAGTAAACGAATATGGATGAAGAATCTGGTATCCATCTGACAATCCATTTCCAAGTTTGTGTTTGCTGATTAAAAGTGGTTATATGTATTGTTTTTCCAACATCCGGTCTGTATCCAATCCGATTTCACCTCTTTGGTTATTACATATCATACTTATAATTCAACTTCACAGTACAAAGAAAGATGTAAAGTAATGAAAATTACTTGGTTTTTTAAAGTATATTTTGTCATTTCATCCCATGAATTGGGTATCTTTTTGCACAGTTGATAAATAAATGGATCGGGGGATCTTTTTGCATATTTGATTAAGATTATCTGTATTTTTTTAGTTGTGCAGATGGATAACAAGGTACAGAATGAAAGTAACATTGGCAGGAATGAACAATTTTGCACACTGTGTGAAGAGTATACTTCCCAGGTTATAAACTATCTTGGTGAAAATGAGACTCAAGCACATATTATTAGTACACTTCACAAAGCATGTTCCCAAATGCATTTTCTCAAACAACAGGTATGGTATGTCTACCTTCTTGTATGAAAAACTAGCAAACTTCTAATAGGTTTTATACAAGGATGATGAACTCTTGTGCCTCGGTTACATCCGAAATGATTTTTTGGCAGTGTATTTCGTTGGTTGATCACTATGCGCCATTGTTTTTCTTGGAACTTTCCACAATAACACCAGAGCAGTTATGTGAAAAAGCGAATCTGTGTGGGGAGACTGTGCTGGTGAATCTGCCAAAGAGTTCTGATTTCTGCACCCTTTGCCATAATATTGTCAAGGAGATTCTTACCAAACTAGAAGATCCTGATACTCAGGTACTGAAATCCTTTGCATCACGAGGTTCTCGATTGCTCTATAACATATTTGACCACATATTTCCCTGAATCATGAGCTGTTTCTCTACCAAGTTGGGGTATGATCTGCTGTGTTAATCATCGAACAATTCATTTCACTGATATCTGTGCATCATTTCTGCTCTGTTAATGTTATATGTCAGAATCTATGGATCTTGTTAATTCTTGTATCGATTGGTTATCCATATTTATCATATTAGACAAACTGCTGAACATAAATTAAATGTAACTTTGCAACTTTTTCAGCTCGAGGTGATCAAGATGCTAATGAAGGGCTGCGAGGAAGTTGGGAGTTATGTTCAACAGGTGAGCTTTTTAATGTCTATCTCCTATTATCTGACATTTCATCTGAGATGACATGTGTAACGGATTTCCTTGTATGAACAATGTTTCATGTCATCTCTTAGGACTGGGTGACATGTTTCTCAGTCATTTAGGTTTTTCATCTCTAGATAGAAGTTTCTCTCTTTCATCCGAATTCAGTTCTATCAATAAACAGGATTTAAATGTGTGTCGTTTGCCTTTTCAGTGCAAGAAACTGGTATTGCAATATGTCCCACCAATCCTGATCAATGCCGAGAAATTTCTTGAGACAACTGATGTCTGCACTGCCATCTATGCATGCAAGAACAGTGAAGATCACATCACATCCACACTTGCTGATATGTGAACTATGAAAGCAAAGAGGCCCGAGGGAATTGGCTGCAAATAAGCATTGTAATCACCGTAGTTGTGCAATGAACTGTACCTTCAACAAACATTGCAGATCTAAGAAAAAAAAATTGGATAATTATACAACAGTGTATCTTGATCCATGGCCATCAGATTGGGCGCTTGTAACACTTGATTTCTCATGTATTCTGCTGCTCAACTTCTCTTTCTCTTTCTTCATAGTATGTATATGATTAGATAGTTATCATCAATGAAATTGTGTTTGCTCCAGACTTGATTCTTCTGATGGAGTCCTTGGCCTTTTGCATTTTGGTTATCAGTTTGGTATGATACTTGATTGGTTGGTACACAGAGATTGTATTTAGCACACAGAATTTGCCGGTGATTGTTTATATATATGATAAATTTTTCAAGCAATTGTTGAAGAGAATTAACAAAAGACAGTGTTCTTCATCCTCAGTGCAAATATTCCTTCTTTTCAAGCAACTATTCCTTCTTTTGTCTCTTCAAAGGACAATCATAAACCCCCTCGTCTTCTTTAGTTGAGAGAGATTAGGCAGGCAGATGGAGCACTATTGGTGACAGCAGTACTTCTGGGTATCTGACCTAATCATGTTCATGGATTTAAAATCAAAGGAAGCATCTCGACATCATTGGTTTGGTACTACAAACCAATAATGATACATCATAACAATTCTCCATGGCTCCACCTTTATCTGTCATTAGCTTTGTCAAATGGGCCCTGATAATAATGCTGCACCAACCATGAAAGAAGAAGAAGAAGAAGAAGAAGAAGAAGAAGAAGAAGAAGAAGAATCTTGGGATGTACTCATGAAACATAGTAACATACCACGGTAAGAGAATATTCCATTATGATGAAAAATATGGAACCGCTAAGAGAATCTACTACTAATAATTGCATTTAATTTGAACATGGCAGTAATCCTCGAACAAAGCATGCATAAAAACATTCGAACAAGCTATCGAATTCAAACACAACACAGGACCACTCGAACTAATTAAATGAAGTTTACATGCACAGGACAACAGAGTAACAGTTTAGACAACTTGGATGAAAATTCATAATCTCACGAGACTGCAAAGCAACAACAAGAAACAAAGATAGCAATGGCAACCATACAGAATTTTTGGAGATGACCTAATCATGAAATGCATGAACTCTTATTACTACATCAGAAGGTTGAGGTTTTAGCAACATGGTCAAGACTGCTGCTGCTGCTGCTCTCCTTGCCATGCCCAGACGATGTCCTTGAGGGCCGGTCTGATGCCCTGATTCCACAGTTTCTGGTACTCCAGAGTATCTCCATTTGTCTTCTTTATCTCCACCAGATGAAATGATGGAGTGACCTCGAAGATCTCTGCATCAATAGCCAGAACTCCCTTTCGCCCTAGCTTGGTTCCTTCCATTATCAACACTCCATGGTCATTCTTCTTCACCTTTAACTTCAAAAACCTCGCAACGTCCTCCAGCTTGGAGATAATGGTAGCGGCTGATTTACCAGATATGAATCTTGCTTCTCTCTTCTGGTCGGTCTCCTCAAACAGACCTGAAAGATCAAATCCAGCCGAAAGAGAGATGATATCGAAAGCATTTAAGTTGGTGAGTTTCCTCATCTGCCTCTCCTCGGTCATATCTGTATCAGGGGAGCTAAAAACTTCGTTCATATCAGGTTGATCAATTTCTTGTGTTCCTTCACCATTTCTAATTACTCCTTTATCAAGTCCTTTTCCAAACCAAGGATTTTCCATAATCTTTGCGATTGAGATCCTGGTAGTAGGATTTGGGTCAAGAATGCGTGATAGCAACCTCCTAACATCCGAAGGGAACCAACAGGGACACTTAAATTCTGCTTTTGCAATCTTCCTATACATTTCCATGAGATTTGAATCATGGAACGGGAGATAACCAGCCATGAGAACAAACAAAATCACCCCACAAGACCATATGTCAGCTTTGGCTCCATCATATCCCTTTCTACTGATCACCTCGGGAGCAACATATGCTGGAGTACCACAAGTTGTGTGGAGCAAGCCATCTTGTCTCTTAGACTCAGCAAGAGCACTCAAACCGAAATCTGATATCTTTAGATCTCCATTCTCATCGAGCAAAAGGTTTTCAGGTTTCAGATCACGGTGATAGACACCTCTGCTATGGCAAAATTCCACGGCATTAATCAGCTGCTGAAAATATCTTCGAGCCACATCTTCCTTGAGCTTGCCTTTGGCAACTTTGTTAAACAGCTCGCCACCTTTCACATATTCCAGGACAAAGTAAATCTTAGATCTGGTAGCCATGACCTCATAGAGCTCTACAATGTTTGGGTGTCTTACCATCCTCATGATTGATATCTCACGTTTGATCTGATCGATAAGCCCAACCTTTAACACCTTCTCCTTGTCAATCACCTTTATGGCAACACTCTGAGAAGTCTTTATGTTCCTAGCATAGTAAACTTTGGCAAATGTACCTTTCCCTAACAATCTTCCAACCTCATACTTCTGCATCAACACAGTTCCTCTATTTTCCAATTCCATCTTATGAATAAGCTAAACACAAAACCAATATGATGTGCTCCCGCTTGTGAGATGGCACCTTCTTAAGGGCGGGATCGTCAGCGTGGGTGAGGTATCTCAACCGTCTTCCCCGATGTCGTGGTCTAACACGACATCCTTTCGAATATTCCTAGCTCCACTGTGGCATTGAGCATGGAGCGGAGACTGGATTTCATGGCGCCCTCCGATCTCATCAAGAATGAACAGTAAGAGCTTAGCTGAAGCAACACTAGCATTAATATTAGGTAAAAGTTTGTCAGCGTTCAAGCACATCTTTCAGCATTCCCTTGTGTTCCAGTTTTCAGCAGGACACTACAGAAATTAACAGAAACCAAACTTGCTTCAATTCCAAGAAACATAACAAGACTGAATTATTTTGAATCAGAGCAAGCAGGACTAATAAAGAAAAGCAGCCTTTGACAACAATGCGGAGCAACGAAAAGATATGCAAGTAACAGCATAAGATAGCAACAAAGATAATCTTGCACTAGTAAAAATAACCCTTCAAACTGGAGAAGATGATAACAGGTTATTCTCCAAACTCTGCAATCGAATTTAAGACCACAGAGTTTACTAGACTTTATTTTTAAAGATTGATCTTTTTATTATACATAAAGCATAGTCGAGAGATTCGATCTATTTCAAAAAAAAATTTAAAAAAAAATTGATCATGCAGGCCTGTTTAAGAATCTATAAATGTCAACAGAGAAATGTATACTCTTATCAAAGGAATCATTAGAAGAAACTAAGCGACTCTGTTGGTAATTTCTTCGCAAAATGAACATACGATAGATTAAAGCAGCACTGTGAGCACAAAGGCTGCATCAACAGACATATAAACGAAATCCTTCGATAATAGAATAATCTCAAAAGCAGAACTCCATATCTAAACGGATCAAGATCTAACAAACTAGGTGAACGTTGAAACTTTTTTCTGTAATGTGGAAAAAAAAACTTTTTTTTCGATAAATATCGAGCAAAAATAGATTTTTAGCGGATCACTAGAATCAAAATTGTTTTTTTTTGGGGAATCGAAACAAAACAAATCAAAGAAATCAACAGGAAAAACGGCACGATGCAACCGAGTTGTTACCTCTATGCGCAGGAAACAGATCGGGATCCAACAAACTAGTGAATCTAGCGCCGAAATTTTCTCATGCAAAACCGGTAACATTGAACCATAAGAAGAGAAAAGAAGCTTCTATACTGTGAAAAACAACCCTTCTTTCACCAAATCATGGAGAAAAATTAGATTTTTAGCTTATCCCTCGAATCTAATTTGGTTTTTCCCGCATCCAAACACAGTCAAGGAAATCGCCATGAAAAACGCCAAAATCCGATCGAGTCGTTACCCTTTCGCGCAGGAAGACCTCAGGGGAGATGAACAACGAGTCTCCGGAGATCCAAACCGAGATCCAGGCAGAGGAATCAGCGATGAGAAAGAGGAAGGCGAGAAAAGCTCAAGATTAACCCCCCTTCCTCCCCCCTCTCTCTCTCTCTCTCTCTCTCTCTCGTGATTGGCAGCCACCAACCTCTGACAACCCACAAAGTAACGTTGTACACAAATAGCCATCCTTTTCTTGAAGTGTGACAACTCGTGCCATTTGCCCCTAATTAATCTATTATGAATATAATAAGATTCATCAGCTCCACTAATCCATGACCGCCAGTGAGGTTGGTGGCGACTAAGAACAATTACTCATCCAAGTGACCTACTTAATCATATTTATCGAACCATGATCTGTCTTGACGGGTGGGGCGAAGGGTCAGCAAAATATCGAAGCCAATACCGCTCGTTGTGGACCGTAAACGGTCGACTGGGGGTGGGCCCACGTCCCGTTGGCAGGGTGGCGCTTGTCCGCTCGTGCGGGACCCGGGTAGGACCCACTATGTCGACGGCGCGCGTGTCGTCGTTCGCACCCGGGCCCGCGCGCACGGGAGGCGACCTGGAAATGGACGAGCGAGCTGTGTTTGGTGATGCGTCTTGTCCGTCGTATCAATCGATCGATCTTGCAAAGCTATTAGAATCGCTTTCGTCGAAGATTGGATTCGGACAAAGAAGGTTCGACCGAATGACATAGAAGAAGGTTCAATGTCTGTGTCTGATGATAATTGTCGGTGACAATTCTGGTTATCTGCGACGTCAATTGATTTGAAAGAGCCATCGGAATCGTCTTCATCGCAAGATTGGATTGTTACAATAAAAATCGATCGAATGATCACAAAAGTTTAAAGTATATTTTCGATGATGACACTCAAGAAGATAATTCTGATTATCTACGATCTTAAAGAGCCATTAGAATCGGCTCAATTGAATAATCTCAATTAGATCGTAAACGTAATCGACAATATCCCATTGATATTTAAGTTACAGTGGATTTAAGATAGTGTGATATCAAAAAACAATTTTTGAATGAGTGAGTAACCAACGTTCAAACTTGTGTTGAGTTAGTATTATTAATGTGACACTCGACTTTTCGCATATCATATCTCTTAGTCGAAGCTGATCAATTCCGATCCGATCTATCGATAGTGATGATTATTCATAGTCGATAGTTTTAGCAAGAATCTTTTGATGTTCAACTTTTGACTTATGGTGTCCCCATATCAACCATCAATCTTTTAGTAACAATCGATTTATTCGGGACGATATTATTATGGATTCGATTTGTCCACATTCTTTACCGAAATATCTATTACAAC